CATCATGAGACATTTTACTGTCAGAATAAGAGAAACTGCATTATTTGCAGTGCTGAAAGTTGCTAGTTCCACTTAGGACGTTGCTTCCATTCATGACAGAGCCTGGCTGATGCACAAGTGAGAGGAAAAAATGTGACTGGTGTGTTTTAATGTGACTGAGGTAAAAATAAAACTCCCAAAAAAAGAGGTGCTATTCTTAGTCCCATTCATTTATTGCTGTGGGATCTTGTCATTTCACTGCACCACACCACAACTGTGTTAAGCAATACCATGCCAAATTGTGAGGACCAGTCTCTGTCCAAATGTTCTCACATTATGTCATGGCCTCTTAGCTCTTTTAAGCCATGATGGTCTCATTTCTAATCAGTTTTGGCTCCCACTTCTACATTATCTCCCAGCAGGGGCCCAGTACTGCAAATCTGTGAAGCTCTCAGCAGCTTCAGTCAGTTCAAGAACCTCTGCCCCTACACACCTCTCTGAGCTTCATCCACAGAATGCATCTGCCATGAAACCACAACTGCAAAACTCAGCCTGGCCCACCAAGAGAGCCACCTGAGGTGGTGCAACTCCTCAGTGCTGCAGGAGAGATGAATTTGGCTTTGAAAATCCTGCCAATCTTACTCTCTAACTGTGAACCAATTCCCTGGAGATTTAGTAGTTTGGGCACAAACACGGCGTGAAAATGTTTTCCTCTGTGGCCCATTATTGAGCAGGGTCAAATAAACCACTGAGGTGGCATTTAATAGTAGATTTCCACTAAATGTCAGACCGCTGGCTTTGACATCTGTTTTGAGTTAGCACAGCAGCTGTTTGAAGCAGCTGCAGCAGTTGTGAATTTGCTGGGAGCAGCAAAGTAAAAGACGAGTGGATGGGAAACCTTTTAGATTAAAAGGAAAGAAAAATTCCTTAAGGACAGCAATCATCAGGTATTCAGCAGAATTTCTCTCTCCAGAAATCAAACAGCTTTTGGCACCAACAGCCAGCTGTGCAAGGAGCAGGAAAGTCCTGTTCTCCTTAGGAAATGGCAGGAACTGCCAAAAGGTTAAACTGAAGAAACAAACAAATGAAAAACCCTATAAAAGGTGTAAGGTACATAAGTTGTTGCATCTGAGGTCTGCTTGTACAGGTCCATGCCACAATCTGTTTTGCACTTGCTTCTCTACAATACATTTAAAATTATGTCATGAAGCCTTGATGCCCTTTTAAAAATAACTTTGTGCAGCCAAAGCTTGAAAATATAATCTTAAGGAATCTATCTCCAGGTGAGTGACAATTACTATGGCTTTTTATTGCCTTGTTTCAGAATTCCAAAATAAGAGCCACTATTTCCCAGTCTGAGCAAGTCTTACTCTCCAGGTGCTTGTGACAATATTTAGGCTAAATATGTCTGTGATGCTCAACTACACATCTGTGCACCCAAGCACAGAAATTCAGTCCTTTTCTCTCTTCACTGCTTGTTCAGTTCTGAACTTTTCTTACAATCAAAGCCTTCAAAACCTGTTTGCTTTTGTGATATTGTTCTGAACTCCTCCAAGTTGTTGTTATTCTAATGGCAATAGGACACTCAGAATTATGTCCCTGATTCAAAAGGCCTGCCACTCCCTCTGCTGTGACATGCTGACATTTAGCTTGAAATTTAACACACTTATTTTTACAGGCCACAAAGAAAACATTATTTCATAAAACCATTAAGGTTGGAAAGGACTTTTAAGACCATTGAGTAGAACTGTTAATCCAGCACTGCTGAGCCCCCCCACCAAACCAAGTCCTCAGGTACTACATCTACAGGTCCTTTAAATATATCCATGACTGTTGATCCAACACTTCCCTGGGCAGCCTGTTCCAATGCTTGACAACCCTTTTCCTGAAGAAATTTTCCCTAATATCCAATTTAAATCTCTCCTGGCACAATTTAAGGCCATTTCACCTTGTCCAACTGCTTGATACTTGGGAGAACAGACCAATCCTCACCTTGCTTCAATCCCCTTTCAGGTCCTTGCAGAGTGATAAGGTCTCCCCTGAGCCTCCTTTTCTCCAGGGTAAACAACTCCAGCTCTCTCAGCTCCTCTATCACAACCTAGTTCTGAATGGCAGACTGGGACAACTGCATTTCTTATATGTGACAATTTTTGAATTCTACTTTATAAGAATCAATTTAACCAAAATTACTGTTTAAAGATATGTGGTATTGCTTGTTTGAGTTTATTCTTCTGCTCCTGAACACCTACTTGAGGTAGGCACTCACAGCTGTAACCTGAGATTCAAGGCAAGTTGTACTGGAAAGAAACAAAATTTCACTTGCACTATGCCTGAGTCCTTAACATTGTGCTGTCTTCTCAGGTTGCTCTGCCAAGCTGCTTTCACTCTTCTGCAACTGCACTTTGATCTTCTGTTAAAGATTAGAAATCTGAGATACAGATTACACCTCTCAACAGCAAAAAGGTTCCTGATTCAGGAGTTTGCTGAGACCAATCAACTCTCCTTCCTTTTCTTCTTCCTGCAGTCCTGAAAATTTTACATCAGAGATGCCTGATGCCTGTGGAATCTGACTGACCACAGCATCTTCCATGTCACACTGAAAGTCTGCATGAGGCTGCAGCACATCAGATGTTGGATGTAAACTTTGTGTATGCAGGTATCAGTTGAATATAACTGAATTATTAAATTTGGAATAGAAAAAAAACTTCAATAACAGAAGTTTACATGAGCTGTCAGCAGCCTCTATCAACTAATGAATGGAAATTCATTTGCACTGGCTTTAGGACAAACTATTTCTTACAGAGAGCCTGACCATTCCTATTCCTCAGCCAAAAGAAATTACACTAACCTGGCATTCATGCAAACACATCAAAAGATATATGCAGAACACACAGAAACATAATTGAAGTCCTAATCTCTTTAGCCAAAACCTGGTACAATTCCCAAAAAACTGAACAAGTTTCTCTCCCAGCTGGACTAATCTTTTTGTGTAGCCCAAGGGAGGGGAAGAGGCAATTCTGGCTCAGCCTGGCAGTGCCTGGGCCAAGACTAAAAGCCAAGTCCTGTGGGAAGCCTGGCTCTGCTGGGCTGAGCCTGCTCCTGGGGCTGCACCAGGAGCTCCTCTCGTGGCCTGGCTGGGGGGTCTGACACCAAAGGCTGTGCCCTCTCCTCACTCACTGCCCTCCATCCAGCTGGAGAGTATTTTGTTCTCCATGGCTGCTAGTCACACAGGGAAGTACATAAGCACATCCTTTTGTGGATGCTTGTCATCATCTACTATGTTTTCAAGACAGTTACTGAATGAAGAAACAAAATAAGGGAATACATTCTTTCTCTCTAGCTAAATGACCACAGTTTACACCCTAACAATGAAAATCTGAAGCTACAGCTCAATTTAAAAAATTAAAATATTATCTGATCTTATCAATTTCATTTCTTCTTCCTACTAGATTTTATGTTCTCTGAGTTTATAGCACGAAGCTTTGTATTTTTCACTAATAAGATAAAGAAACATTTTCTATTCTCAGTGAGCAGGAGGTGATGTCTAACAGACTGACCTCTACCTATTTATTCTAGACAGAAATGAACCACTTTATTTCAAATATCTCATTAAATTTAGTTTCATAAATTGCTCCTATTTCACTGAAAACTAAGCTTGTTTTTAAAAAGAAACAATGCCAGTGTCATGACCTATGAATACAAATTAGAGCTCACATTTGGGGAGTATTTTTATACATGGGATACCTACATGTGACTATGCAAGATCTATGTACAACATATTTACATTAATGATGGTCACTAATGAGAAAACACTGTCTGTTGTAACCTTCTGCACACAGCAACTTTTTAAAAATAAGTCCCATTTTAATCTACATAGCACTATTAGGAAGACTTTTCATCTGCTGTCTCTCATAGCAATTTTCTAGGCAAAACAAGGGCTGGACATAAGACTTTACATAATGCTGAGGTGGAGCTGAGTGCAGTTGACAATTTATTGTATTAGACTTTATTCAATGAGATCTTTCTAAATAATTCCATCTTTTAATCTATATTTTGAGATCTAATAAAGCTTTTATTGACTTTTATCCCCCTGCTCACAGATAGTTTCTGGTGAGAGCTGAACTTTGAAAGGAAAGGATGGAGAAAACCTGACTCCACTGAAAGTTTAGTACAATGTTAAAGCATTTATCTCCTAAAGAAGAACCCCTGGGTGATGTGTGAAACTTGTGCAAGGGTCCTGCAGGAAGTCTATGCCTCTGAAATTCACTTATCAGGCAATTCCAGGGCTTTCTGTGGCCAAGTGGCTGAGCCTCTTTCACAGCAACAGCCAATATCCCAAACTTCCCATCTCCTGCTAGGAATCTCAGCCATTTCTCTTGGCAGCAGAGTATTTTCTTCTGGGCTCAGAAAAGAGCTTAAATGAAAAAAGGTTGAACAAATAAATTCTGGTTATAAAAATGCCTATTTTTAGCAAACAACAGGAATGAGAGAAATGGAAACACTGGAAGAAAGGCTGTGGCTGTATGAACAAGTGCAGCCTATGCTGCACAAACAAGCACCCCACTTGTTTTCCCTCTTTGCCTCTGGACCTGAGGGCTACATTGACTTAGAACTCAATTTCAGACCACAGTCTTGGAGAAGGATAAGGACAGAAGGAAAATGTGCTAAGACATGTATTAAAAAATAAATCATCAAGGGGACCAGCCAAAAAGAAGGAAAGCTGTGAAAAAAGGAGCACGGCAAAAGGGAAGCAAAGAAAATGCTTGGGGAAGAAAGAATCTCACAAAGACATTGTCTCATCCACATATCTAGCAAGGGCTACCTGTGGAGGTAGCTTAAGGTAAGGAGGAACAGGCTGCTCCTCCACTCTAAACAAGACAGGTTTCCCTACAGCTATTGTTGAAATGAAAACAAAGAGCAGCAAAAAGCCTGATACCAAAACACAACCCCCTGAAAACATCAAGGAACAGAAAACACTTTTATATTCTTCCCTCTCATCTGCCACAGGCAGCAGTGCTCACCTCTGGAGCTGGGGAAGGAGTTGTTGAGCTGCTCCATCACTTCCTCCAAACCTGTGCTTGTGTCCTGGGGAGGGCTGAGCAGCTCATCCTCACCTGCAAAGCAAACCCACACCACTGCATGAGCCTGTGCTAACAGCTTGTATTGCCCAAGTCCTCCTCAAAGCCAAGGCTGTTCACTCAGGCACATGCTCTGCTTAGTGTACAATAAACCTTTCAAAGGTGAATTTTGTTGTCTGTTACTGTTCTCTTTCTTTATAAGGATCTAAGGGGAACTAAACGAGAATTTGAGACAATTAACACTATTTTAATTCATAAAAAGGGATTTGAGAAATTGACTCTGGTAAAAGAAGTAGGGTAAAATGTCTGCTAGGAACATCTAGTTCCATAAATGACACTCATCCTTTCAGCTTCTCTTATTCTATTAATGGAAAAAGAAATTGCTGTTGTGAGTGCTGCTGTTGAGCAGCTTTCTAATAGTGCTGGGCTCATGTTGGCACTGCTTTGCCTAGCTGTGCAAATCAGTAGAAACCCAGATTCTCATCTGCATCAGTATTAATATTTCTGACAGTTTAATTGCATCAGATTGGCGCTCCAAGAACAGTCAATTGTACTGTAAAAGGGTTTAGCAGCAGTTTAATAAAGCCAAATACATTTCTCCCACTGAATAATTTCTATAACCTGATTATAGGGCAGCAGCCTAATGGGAAATTCAATACATTTTATTTTTACTGGGGTTTTTTTTTGCTCATGGTTTCATATAACTGAAATCCATATATTGCTTTTAATGCAGATCCTGGCCTCCAATATAAATAAAGCATCTTGAAAAAGAAAAACCTAAAGTATATACACTTTAAGTGAGACTCTCCTTTTTTACTAGATGTTTTTTATCTCTATTAAAACACAAAAGCAATTTTGCTGCCGTAATAACTGAGTTCCATACTTTTGAAAATGACTTAACGACCCTTTATTCTAACATGTCGTGCTCTATTTGAGTAGGAAACTGCCTGATTTTCTGTTAACATTTACATTCTTTAAACATTGAGGTGCTCCATGCTAGTGAAAAACCTAGAAAAAGGGATGAAAGGAGCATTTCAGGCCTGCCTATATTTAAGCTGGGAGTTTAACAAGATATATTTCTGACCAAGAGTGATTCCTCCCACTCCAGCACAAGAAGTGGGATGGAGTGTCTGCAAGAAGCACTTAATTCATATAAATGATGGTCTTTGTATCAGCTTCTTTTATTCCATTAATGGTCTAAAAATAGTTGCTGAGGCTGCTTGCAGTTTGTTCAGCTTTTCAGTGGTGCTGGGCTCACACAAATCAACTCACACCACGAGTTACTTTCACATCAGGCATTGCACTGACAGAAGTGTCTCAGCAAAAGCAATGTCCTTGCAGCCTTTGCTGAATGTCAAGGTGAAAACTCAGGGTGAGATCGCACTGCTTCTACCCAGGCTGAGGATTTTATCAGCCTGAAGAAAGCCTCCTGGCCCTAATGATCTCAATAAAAGGGCAGTGGTTCTGCTGTCCTGGCCAAGAACTGAAGACAGGTACCAATTTCCAAATGTCCTCATAAGTATGCTGATATAAGCTGCACTACCGATCCTCAAAAATGTTGTATTTTTTATTTAAAATGCATTGTTTTGAATTTTTTCCTTATTTGGATGATATTTTCTGAGCATTTTCTTGTAAAGGACAAAATAAGACATGAGCCAAGCAACTTGACAGAAGATAGCTCAGTCTCCTCTCTTTACCCAGAAGAGCCTTCCCCAATTGTATTTCTACAAAAGGTTTAGAGAGCTAAGTGAGCCTCAAATGTTCTGGTGGTTCCTGAACAAATTAAAGTTCAGAACAGCCTCTTGCCTCATACACTTCAGAGAACCTCCTCTGCTGCTACCCTGCTGGGGAGAAAGGCCAACGATAAGGACTTTCCCACTGGGACTGCATGAGGAGAAAAGCAGAACATTCCTGCTTGCCCAGGTGTACTTCAAGTTAACAAGGAATAAATTCTATTTGTAAATGAGGGTTTGAGTGGGTTTTGCTTTTACCAAAAAGCTGCTGGTGAAACACCTTTCACAGCAAACTCTCCTCAGCAAAGCAGAAACACAAAAGTGCAGTGGGTTTTCAAATGCAAAAACAGCTAAGGTGCAATTTTAAAGAGAAAACACACAAAAGCTCCCACTACCTTGCCTCATTGCCTGGGACACCTAGAGATCCTCAGTATTTTCTCAAAAATTATGGATCCCTCACTCCTGGGTACATGGCTGTGCATGCCAGCATTATTTACACCACCACTCTGGTTCCCTTCACAATTCAAGAGTATTTTAAGCTGTGCTTCAGAAAACTCTGAGCCTAGCAAGCAAAGCTTTCTGGTGTGAAAGGACACTTCGCAAACTGAATTAGCTGTGGCTTGTTAGCCTGGTTAGTAATTCTTTTTATAAGCTCCACTCCCTGCTGCCAACAGTGTGGCTCTGCTGAGTCTCAGCATGACCCCTCTGATAACATCTCACTGTCCTCCCACATATTGGCTCCACTGAACAAATAAAATCAAGTTATGTCTAAATATTTGCTTTAAAAAGTTTTAGCACCTTATATGACTCTACTGTGTTAATCAATTAATTCCAGTCTCAGGAGGTAAATGGGAATAATTTTATATTGTATTCCCAAATGAAAAGAAGAATATTTTTGTATTTTGTCCCACTAAAGGATGAAATATAAAACTACAAGACTTCTAATAAGATGGCTGGGAAATACTGTCTTCCTGTATTTTCTTCTAATTGTATTTTAATTCACGTATTTTATGTGATGAAATTCATGACATTTCTCCAGAAAGCTGATCCAAATTACACCACTACTAAAACATTTTACCTACTCTGTGTATGGCATACATTAAAAAATTTCCCCACTGGTAATATGATTAATGAAAGGTCCATTTTTACTGTTTCCATAAATTCCTGTTACCTGTGATTGTACTCTCACCCCCAGGATTTCAACTTCAGCATTCCTAAAGGTACTATTTATTTCACATTTTTAATTGCAGATTGTACAGAACCCATCCACTTTGATACTGTCATAGGCTGAAATTATTGCTCACACTTTGAATGGAAGAAAAACCCTCCCCAAAAGTTACATTTCCCACCACAACAGCACTTTGGACACAGCAGAATGTGCCCTCCCATTAAATTTCTTACTGCCATTGACACTTTCACTAATAGCAGTGAAAAGCTCTCACTAATATACATAAAATAAATTTCTCTGTATGAAGCTGAATATTACCATCAGAGTCGAAACATCATCTTGTTGAAGTAATATAAGAGCATTTGCTTAAAGATGCTGAAAAGATTGATTGCTTTTTTACTAGCAGAAAATCCTTGCCTCTTGGTAATAAATACTTACTAATTTTGTAACAGACAGGAAATTAGGAAAGTGCCACATGGCAGTTACTAAAAGCACCAAAATAATAATTCCAACCTCCAGCTACAGAATATTATTATTTAACCTCACTCCACAACTCTTAAGATGTTCATTATCACATCTGATGTGATACTTAGAAAAGCCACAAGATGAGCACTGCCTGTGAGTGACAGCTCCATGCTACTGACTGAGCCACAACATATTAAAAATAAGATCACATCATTTAACATGGGGATGACTAATCATACATTTAGTCTCTTAGCCATAATTAATATTATGTACATTTAAATCAGTCATGTCAGGCTTTATAACTGAAAGTCAGTTTGAATAGAATAGTCAGCTTTTCAGCAGCATTTGCTTTCAGAAGTCAAGCCCTGGCTGAGCTTTCTGTTTAATATCAAAATATCCAAGCTACTGGGTGCATCATGATCAAAAGCAAAGCATTGCAAATATCTACTTCATTTCATTTGAACTAAATGGAAAAGTGTTTTCTGTCTTTAAGGATTTTGTTCTGGAAAATGGGACATCATTATTTTTTGTGACAACCTGAGCTTTGTTATCTTACCCATGGTTTCTGAAGTCTGGCTGCCAACTACACGAAGAAGCATTGGCTGACTGCTGCCTGACCTCTGCAAAGAGGTAGAAGGAGATGACAGTGTTGTACCATTCACCTTGGCATCTGCCTGGGGCTGAAAGTGAAGAAAAAAAAGTAAGACATTGCCATAACAGCTCACTATTTTATATCCCTGTAATTTTTATTTTTTCCATGAATACACACAATTATAGTATTCCAGGCAACCCTAATGAGGGGAGAATGATGCATCTGACTCCCTCTTATCAGAAGGCTAATTAATTACTTTATTATACTATATTATTCTATATTATTCTATGTTATATTACACTGTATTACATTACATCTAAACTGAATCTGCCAAGCACAACTGCACAGAATCTCGTGACTGTCCTGTGACAGTCTGATACACACACACACACACACTTGGCCTTGACAGGCCAAGGAAACAAAACACCATCACTTTGGGTAAACAATCTCCATATTGCATCCTACTTTTGCACAAACACAGGCCCAGCAAATAAGATAAGAATTGTGTTTTCTTTCCACTGAGGTTCAGAGAATGTGAAACCCAGAAATATTCTTGGGAAGAACTGTGCCTTGCTTTTCTCTGTGAAGAGAAACGTGGCTACACGCAATTTTCAGCCTGTTTTTAAGTAAATTCATCCATGCAGCCAATGCATTTTAATTCTGAATAAAACAAGAAAGGAGAATAAGAATCGAAACCTGATTCCATATTCTCACTTGCAGCCTGTAAAAAACAATTTTGTACTTTTGTACTTTTCTGTGACTTGCCTCTACAGATATGATTCCTTGGTATGTTCTTGCTATTGATAATGCTGATTGATTCCCTGTTTGGAAAATCTTCAGAGACGCAGAAGAAACGCCTGAGGACTCACCTGCTCCAGCAGCTGCCTCAGCCTGTGCAGCTGCGATTCCAGCTGTTTGTTGTGATCCTCCAGGATCTGCATCCTGGCCTCCAGGCGGCCCTTGTGCTGCCGGAGCAGCTTGGCCTCCGCGATGAGCTCGGCGTCGCGCGGGCTCTGCGGAGACACCGGCAGCATCTCCGGGGGGGACGGCAGCGGGGACAGGCCCTTGTGCTCGTGCTGCTGCTTCAGCCGCTCGTACTCGGCCTGCAGGTTCCTGGGGGAGGGACAAGGGGAAAAAGCTTTATGGCCTGAATCCAGACACCTATGGGCTCACTCCTTGTGGATCGGCACAGATCTGGTATTAGATGGATCCGTGGTTCAAGCTGCTGTCACGATCTTTAGCTGGTCAGAGTGACCCCAAGAAAAGTTAAAAAGTCTCTTTTCCCAGCCCGGCGCTTGAAGGAGTCAGGGCTCTTCATTTCTCGGTCTCAAGGTTGTTTATTGTATCTTGTCTATAAAAAATTTTCTCCTATCCTGCCGAGGTCCGTCCAACTGTGTCCCTTCCACACAGTTCCAGGCACTCTGCCTGCCCCCAGGGCGGTGTTGTGTCTTTATATTAAAAGCTACATATACAATGTTTACAATTACTTTCCAATACCTATCACCTATGTTAGACAGTGAGCTTCTACTCTAAACCAATCTGTAAGTGCCAACATCACAGCAGAAGATGGAGGCCAAGAAGAAGAAGGAGAAAGGCTGGACATGCCCAGATCCCTCCATCTTGCCTCCTGAACCCCCATACCAAAACCCTCAAAATCTACTTTTTCACCCCGTGATAAATTCGCTATTATTCTACCAACTGTTGTGGCTTGCAGATCTTCATCTAAGGTTGGTAACTTGCTCCATGGGTGATAATCAAACCCATAGGTGTTTTGGGCTCTGTGCCAGGGTCTCTGAGCCCCTGGCAGGGGTCTTGGCTGTCCTGGACAGCCAGAGGGATGTTCTGGGTTCCCACAGTTGCCTGAAGGCTCTTGGCATCCCCAGAACTCACAGTTGATTCCCTCCCAGGGCACCTCATGCAGGAGGCTCCAGACACCCTCCCAAAGCCAGGATTGGTCTGTCCTGGGCTCAGCCCTCCCTCAGCTTCCTGCCCTTTATCCTTCCCAGCAGTTCCCTTCCACATATGGCTGCACCTGAGGGGTCATTAGTGCTAAAGGAGGACTCAGAGTTGTCACAGCACCTCACAAACACTAAACCAGAGCGGGTGCCACCTGGCTGGCTGATCTATTTTACAGATGACAAACATCAGAGAAGCAGCCACACAAAAAGGCAGAGCAAAACACAGAACTTGGCTGTCAGTCAGGTCACATCTCTCTCCTCTCTTCAGATCTGTAAATGCATATCCAGCCTAGGGCTAAAATTATCAACTGAAGATGAGAATTAGTGACCTGGTCTGTTAAACTGAACTGTACTGGCTTTTGGGGCTATAATTTTCATCTTCTTTGTCCTGCCTAGAGTGCTACTGTCTACTATAACTTTATGGCACTGCTAAGCTTGTTCTTTTATTCCATAAAACTCCAATTTTCCTTCAGTAAAACATTCCATAGATTAATATGATCTATAGTGTTCCACAATAAAAAAAAATCTACCAAGCAGGGAAAGTGCAGAAGGTAAGAAACTGAAACCTTGTTAAAGGTAACAGTGCAAAACCACAAAAATAGTAACTTGTAGCAGAAACTTCATAGGCAAGGGAAGCCTAACAAACTGCACTGGGATTTTGTTGCTATGATGTTCTTTTACAGGTTCCCAGAGGGGGAAAACCAGCTCAATGCTCTGGTAACTGCTTACTCATCACAAGCACTGACCCAGATTTTACTTTCTCAAACTTGCTCTTATTTGAGGTTGTGAGAACAGACACCTTTTCCCAGTTCTGCCTGCAAACCACAACACACTCTGACAGTTTGCTCTGCAAGTGTAATAGCACCTAGGAAACCTCCCAAAAAAGCCCTTCTAAAAGATCATTATTGTGACCAGAAGGAGAACTAAAGCAGAATGCATCATTTCACATGGGTCAGAAAGCAATGCCAAGGACAATGACAAGCCAATGACTGTTCCCCAAAGGTCCCTGAGCTCCTCAGCAGCTGCATGATGGACATGTCCTCACCTGGGACTGTGGCACTGCCCACAACACAATCTCTAAGGGATGTTTGACCTACATGATCCCTCCTCTGCAGAAATTTTAAATTATTAAAAAGCAAGAGCTAATAATTTTTAACTTCAGGCTGTTCTAAAATTCAAGATTGCTTTCCTTAAAACCCACACAAAGAGGGATAATTATAGAGAGGGTTTTTTTCCAATGATTTTTTTTGTTTTAATGAAATACAGAGTTTCAAGTTCATGAAAATGATCTAGAAAAAAAGGGCTATCTATACTGCGAATAGATATTGTCATGTAAGTTATGTCTTCTGCCTGACTTAATGTCTTCTGATACTTCTAGCTGAACAAACTGGTGAATAATTAATAAAGATACTGAAGGGAATAGGAATGAAGATGACAACATGTTCATTACACATGGTGCTATTGCTGACTGAAGTTTCTACAGGAATGATCAATAAGCCTGCTTTTCACCATGTCCATTGATAGGGGCTATCACTGCCCCATGAGGAATTTCCCAGATCCACAATGCAGGCAATACTCTGTGGACAGCAGACTCAAAAGTTGGAAGTGCTGTAAAGCAAAAGATAAAACATCACCCTAAGGGAAACTAAGTAAATACACTTGGTCATACTTACAACATAATCAGATATCTTGCTACAAAGAAATCTGCAATTATCACCTGTATCAATACAGAGAAGTCCTTCCAGCAATGATGGTATTGAAATAGCAGTAAGGACCAGGGAGTAATTCAGATAAAAATCCTTTCATATCTGATAAAAAATAATTAAAAATCTTTCTGAAAGACTACAGGAAAAAAAATAATGTGAAAGATACTGCATATTTTCCAACCAGAGGTGTGTCTGGATTTGGGAGTTCTGTAATTAAATACTATAATACTGCTGGCACAAAGGAATGTGATTCTGAAGGATGCATGTGGGTGTGCCCAGTGCACCTGTATTACTGAGGTTTCCAGCTGCACCTTTTCAGTCCAGCTACCCAGTCCTTCAACCAGAGAACTGAGATTCATCATAGCTTCAGAGCCATAGGAGTGATGTGCAGTGCACACAACCAATAATATCATAACTGGGATCTAAACATACAGCAATGAAGAAGTGCATTGACATAATGGAAAAAACCTGAAAATTAAAAAAGAAAGAAAGAATTTGAAAACTGCTGTAAGAATATCCTGAGAGAACACATGGCCCTTATTCTTCCCTCTGGAAGTTTTAAGCTGTGTGGTGAAAAGGACTGCTGCTGTGAGCCAGGCACCCAAGGCACTGCCCACAGCCCCCAGGGTCCTGAGGAGAGGCACTCTGTGACACTTTCACCATAAAATGGGACATAAGAGAAAGGGGAGATACAAAAATGCTCCTCTCTAAATGGATGCAACTCAGCAAGCATGGGCAGTACATGGAATCCTCACCTCCCTCTATCACAGCTCAGGCTGGGTGACTTTGACATCTGGCTGTCACAAACAAACAAACAAACAAACAAACAAACAATGTTGCTGCATGTACTCATCACTGGGAAAAGGAATCCTTCTTCAGCAAGAGAATATTAAAAAAACCCACATATATTCCATTTACAATGCTTGCAACATGTTGAGGTATTTGTGAAGAAAAGCAACATAGGAAGCAGGCAGTGCAACCTTGATTTATGCAACTGTACAGAGCTGAGTGGTAAAGAGTGCATGAATTATGATTCACATATATCACTGGCAGCATTAATTGCCTGGTGACAAAAATCCTAGTGGACTCTGTTTGCTGAGTAGTCCTCTCAAAGGCAATTGAGAATTTGTGAATTCATGTTATTTCTCATCTCCCTACAGAAAATCAGTGGTCTGAAGAAACAGACAAAGATGGTAACTGAACCACCCTCACTAGAGTGACAGTGTTTACTCAGGATGCTTCACACTCAGAAGATCTAATTCCCCTTCTTCAGTGCCAAAACAAATACCAAGAGGAGCCACAGCATGTTTAGAAATGCATCACTTTCTTGCTGTTGGCAACTATACAGAAGGAACTTATGTGAGGAGGCCATTTATCAGTCTTCAGGTTTGGAGGAGCACTGAAACAGGGCAGCTTTGAGATTCAGGTTGTCACTGCTTTCTCTGTGGCACACAGCCCACTGCACTCCCATTGCACGTCAGGAAAAGCCAAGGAATGGCAAATAGCTCTGGCTGGAGACCTCATTTACTTAGTTCTTGTTCCAGGACAGCTCAGAGCTGGGAGGAAGAGGAGAGAACATGAGAGAAGTCTCCCTCTTACATACAAGACCTCAGCTCAACTAAAATATTAGGAAACATCCGATTTCCTGAGTCATTAAAATAGCAGGAAGGTATTTTAGTTCTTTGCAAAAAGTTTTGAGTCTGTCACTGCAGAACCATGTGCTTTCTATTTAATGTCACTCCAGTACATCCTGGTCAGTATTACCTATCCTGCTGTATAACTTATGTAATGTATTGCTTTAGATGGACAACAAAAACTTGTCTCCTCTCTCTCTGAAATACATTCACTTGTGAGGAAATAGTATTAGAGAGGGTTTTATAATTGGATTTTTCTTTTATATTGCAATACAGTAATAACGCCTTCAATAGCAAGACTGCTTTTTGTCTATTGAATTCAGAAATGGTCTTATCACATTATTCCATGTGATGCAAAACTCAGCAGAAGTCTGAAAATCTAAAACTCAAATAAAACATTTTCAGCCATTGAAAATATTCTCTAAAATGCTCACATTTTAACAAATATAAATTATTTAGCAGTCAAATCTTAGCCATATATTATTTAAGGAAGTCATACTTCCAAGCTACAGAAGCACCAAGGTCTTAAAATGCTAGCAGATAAATAATGAATATCTAACAAGAGGTCCTTGGAACTGACAAAACCCGAGCCAGAACCACATCACAGCTAGGTTTGTAAGTTAGAAAATGCATTTCAGAAGAATTCAAAATAGGCAACAGAGCTTTTAAACTGCCCAAAAGCAAAACCTCAGAATTACAGTTTCAATGAGTCTTTTTCATTTAAGCAACAAGTCAAGATGGAAATACTTGGGAGGCCAGAAACTGTAGCTGAAACCCAAATGGAGGTCAGAATTCAATCAATGGCTCAAAAGAGACAAAGCAAAAAGAAAAGGGCTTTTTTTAAAAAGCAGAAACTGTAGAGAGCAGAAGAAAAAGAGAAATGACAATGAGGTGCCAGTATCACAGCACTGCTTCCTCTGGGCACTTGATACTTGAGGCATCACTTGTGGCTGCTTTCCTGGGAGCTGCTGAGAAGTGCCTGCATGCCCTGACTCTCGCAGTAAAAGTGAACAAGACACAGCAGAGAGAGCTAAACCTGGGTTAGCAGAAGTTATCACAAGTGTATGCAACAGGAGTTTTGAAAACACAGGCAGGAAAGGGCAACTCTGCACCACATCCAGCTCAGCAGTGGCAGGAGATGCACACAGGAACAAAGGAATGTCTTCATCCTGAGGCAGTAACTAAAGTTTACATGGAGGGTGTTTCAAGATATGCACGGGAAGGAAGATGTGCTCACCCACTGGAACCAGGTTCACACAAGGAATTAGGTGTCAGGTTGCTGATTACCTTTGGCAGCAGCCAAGAAAAGTTTGCACATACCCGACGGAGGAGAACGACTGGGAAATAGGAATCTAAAGGGACAAGACTGATTTTAAAAGTAGGTAAGTTACATGAATGCCTCCTGACTGATCCTGTCTGAAGAGTTTTTTTTCCTAAACAGGAATCCATGTTTCATCCATAAACTCATGGTCATCTGGCTGTGACAAGCAACCAGAACAAGAACTTGTTCACTTTTCAGCAGCTACCTTACATTTTACATACAAGCTATTTATAGCAGTTTGCAGAGACAAAAGTCATGATTTTGTCATAATCAATGAAAATCACAGCAGTGTGACCTCTACACTGTGAGACAGAGCCAGAGCTCTCTGTGCCTGCTGTGTTGAGCACTCACAAAAGGCAAGGCTGCCTGTGGTGGCATCCCATCCATAACTGTGCCTCCAGTAGCACAAATAAGAAAAACAACCTTACAGACTATAGCTATAGTTTAATCCAGGACTGGCAAACTTCAAACCAGGTATTTTTAAGGTGTAATTCCTGCCAGAAATCTTTTACCACCCCTCATCTGTAATTGCTAAATTAAATAAAGCCCATGCAGAAATTTAAGGCATGAACTCCTGAAGAACTTTTTAGTTTATTAAGCTATCTTGCTCCATGTTATACTAGTTTCCATTTATTACCTTTCTAATCAAAAACTAGTCTGCTTTAAAAGTCACCCTCCTTTCTGCTAGGCAGCTTATTTTGTACACAGAGAGAAAAGCATTACGATTTTTTTCCTTCTTCCATGATTCACTACACAATGCTGTTTAAAAAATAACACCCATCTCCTGGAAACCAAGCTATCTTATCATCTGTATTGTACTAGCTACTACATATTTCTTAGCTACAGTCCTGAACATGCAAAGTATGATGTCTTATTTCAAAATACTGATTTTTCTTCACTTCAGAAAGCACTTGGGTTTTATGTGGTATGTAGCAAGAAGCCTGTGGTTTGCTTCAAACAAAATCTCCCTGCTGTTCAGTGAGCAAGAGCTTTGTTTACTACAGCTTTCCGTGTGAAACATAGCCCTCATTCTTGATGCCTACAATCTTCTCCCTTCTCCCAGACCCTCCTGATAAAAAGTCTCTGATGGAGCCACAGTAATTGATTGGCACCATCCAAAGAAGACATACATGGAGAGAAGATCTATGACACTGCCAGCTCCTGCATTATTTCCTTGACAAGTCTAAGGTAAATGATTAGTGCATTAAACCCTCAATGTAAGCAGAAGTACCTAGCTCTTACAGAAGCAAGAAAAAAGAGCATGAAAATGCCAACAGACTGCACTAAAAAAGCTGAAGATAGAGAAGACAAACAAACCCATGTTTTCTTGGTAGAACTAAATGATTTTTATCTTACAGTCTCATTTTGGCAATCCACAGTTGTAACTACCAATCTTTCAGGGTCAGGATCTCTTGGTTTTTGTGCTGATGGCCCAAGATTCCAGAGTACTGTATAAAGAGGACTGCAGTGCTAGGAAATAGGAATCTAAAGGGATGCTTCAAGTATCCATTTGGAGGTTTTTTTTTAAGGGGATTAATGAAGATGACTTCAATTAAATTTGAAGATGGAAGTGTTAAACGATACTTTGAATTGAAAGATTGAAGAAATGGCAACAAGCAACACCAAACAAAGAGAAAGAGGACCCAACTTTTACCCACTATGAAATTATTTATTTGTCAGAAAAAAAGTGCAGTTTTGTAACTCATTTTATCCCTAAAATATATATAATTGTTTTGCAGAGTTTTTACTGCAAATTCAGCAGCTGGTGGTATGACCCACCTGTTTTCCTCCTCCAGGTCTGCGAGGATTCTCTCCAGCTCCCCTCTCTCCTCACTCTCCAGAGAAATCAGGATCTGGGCAGGGCTTCGGGGCTGGCTCAGGGGGGACTCCTGGTTCAGGCTTTGGCAGTAGTGCTGGATTAACAAGTGTTCATCATCACTGCAAAACAGAGCAGGGTAAAACAGGCTGTTCCCTTCCTGCTTTTCAGCTTCTCAGTGAATATGAGGAGATGATTCACTCCCAGGCTCTCATTTCTTACAAAGAGATTTGCTGAACTCTTTGTAACCGTGATGCACCTTAAAGCAAAATCTGCTGACCTGTTTCACTGAGTCTCTGGCAATTTTCCTTCTCTGCAGAGACCACCTCCCTCCTCCTCTGCTTCTTAGATACCTAAAGCCAAGTTTTGCAACAGCTGGCAACCTCAGCTCTCCTCTTTTGACAAACTTCAATTAGGAATTTGCTTGCAAAAAAATAAAAAAAGCAATCTTCTGCTGCCTGATCTGCATTGTGGAAGGGTCACTCAAGCAAGGGCAATGCATTTATTTTTGTACTCACAAACTCTCCTTATGTAGTAAGTATGTGCTTTATTTATCTTTTTTTTATCTATAAAATTCTAAATTAGGTAAACAAAGAAAAAACCCTCAACTAATATAATCAAAGTATGTTATTTTCCACTGAGATGTTTGGTTTTTTTTTAAATTTAAAAGTGATGTACACCTTGAGAATAGAAATATATTCTGTTTAATACATAGGATCTCTTTCTTTGTTTCTATTGCCCCTGAAGCTGTCTAGCATCTAAAAACAGAAATATCTCTGGAAGAAAAAAGGAAATACAATTCTGAAGACCTCAATCACCTCTCAGAACTACAGGGATTGTTTTAGGTGTGGTTTAGGTGCTAAGGAGATGCATCTAAGCAGTAAGCAATGCAACTTACACCAGCAGAGAAACCATGAAAGGTTTCCCTTGACACCACAGGACAGGGTCAGTAAAAATGACACTGCTGTTAGAGATGTCACAGAACAAATTAATTCAGTCTAGTCAGTCCAGGGCTTTTTCCTGTTATGTTTCTAAACCAGAATTTAACAGCATTTTGAACAGCTGTTATTGTTCAAGAATTATAATTTTCCTTGTTTTCATTTGTTCCTGAAAATGTTAATGATGCAATTTTATGTGTGCAGGAGTGCCAAAGCAATGTAGAGCACATTAACATTAGTTCATAAAAGAGAAGTATTAATTTTTCACAAAAGGAGAGGCTTGCCAGTTCCTAAATTTATACTTTTCACGAAGCACTTCAACTGTGATTTCCTTCAAACCACTGCTTTGCATTTATAAATATTCTCACAGATCTTAAGTGAATTAACTGTGAACAAATGACATAACTATTGTAGTAAAATGGCACTTTACAAGCATACTCTATTTGTGTGATTTTCAGCCTGCACAGATATTTTATACATCATTGCAGTGACACTACATAATGAAACAATTTGTGATATATAAATATATGTGTTGTATTTTTATTTCCTGCCCTCCTTGTTTCCATCTATCACTCTACCTGTACTGATTAGCCAAATAATCCAAACCCTGCAAGAATAACAAATAATACTTAGGCATAATCTGACAAGCAAAACCGAAGTAATTACAGTTGTGAATTCATGGTAAGCTTTGATTTTGCTGCAATTTGTATCTATCTGGATAATATTTCTTCCAAATTTCAAAACGCACAGTTTTATTCTCATTTTAATAGTTGAAGCTGAGGAACAAACTGGGTAGTTACCTTATTAATTGAATCATGCTAGTACAACTTCCAACTGATCAAAAAAAAGATCTGAACAGTAAGATCAGAGTGTAATACAAGAGATACAGTGTATGCATGATTCCTGTGACAAGGACACTGAAATATTTCAGTGGGACAACACAAAATTCCATCTATTAGAGCATTACTACTATCCAAAGTAATACAAAATTAACATACGACTTGGAAACAAAGTTTTCATTAACTGCACAAAACTTACTGACATTGCATCAATATTAGTTTTGAGGGGTCATTTTAAGTTTCCCCTTTTACCAATATCTTAAAACAATGTACTTGGTTCTACAGGAGATTTTCTTTCAAAACTGGTAAACAAAAATCCTACCAAGTCAAAAGTGAAACTATTTTGAAACAAAGAAACAGCTTTATTGCTATCTGAGCTCACAGGCTCAGAATCAACCTCATGAAATGCTATTCATTTATTCATTTGGAATCTCAATTTAAGTGAATGAAAATTGGCCAGAATTCTGTGTTGTAAAGGACTGCTACAAATTTAATTGTCTGAATTAAAAAAAAAAATTCCATCCCTTAAACTGTGATAAGGATGAGATCATGTAGAATAGATAAAAACATTTTTAGAGAAGTTGGGGTTTTCATATTTGATTGATTTAGAATCCATGCTATGACTTCTCCTACACAGTTAATGAACCCAGATCAAATTTTCACACACACCCATGATTTAGCTGCTTCTGTGGTGTCCTCAGAAACATTATCCACTGTTAGTTCTATGTCCTCTTATTCAGAGAATAAACGAGACCAAGAATATTATCAGAGGAGAACCACAAAGGGTTTCAGTGAGATTGCAGATATAACTACTTCTTAAAAATCAAAACTCTTATTTATAACTCTACATTTAAAGTAATACAATGAATGCTTGTCAGTGATCTGTCCAACTTACAGTTTACTACTGCTAGTGTTTCACAATGACGATCACTCCCTCCTGGCTTACTTTCAATATATTTCACGTATTTGTACACCAAAGATTTCTGTTTAGCCTCACTTATGTTTTGTATGACACTTTTCCCACACTAACACTTTCTAGCTTACAGCAATTTAACCATGCTTAAGCTTGAACTAAGATAGAAAAGGTTTTTGTATTTTTGTCCTTAGAACTCATCAGACAATGACGTATCTTGAATATGGAAATTATTTGCTGAATACATCAGTAATGTTTGAAAATAAAGTAATAGTTTTAATTTTGAAGGTATTTTTTGGTATAAATTTGTATAATTTTGTATAAATTTGGTATTAAGCTATAAGCCATTAATCCAGCCACTATGATACAAAGTGTAAGGACATGAGCACATCATTAAATTGAACCAGATATGATACATGGCCATGCAAATTCAGCACTACAAAATTTCATTACAAGTTATTAACATTCCCAAGGAAATATATGTCAAAACCACAGAAACAGCCTACTTACATGCTCTCATTAGGTGAAATACTGTCATTTAGGTAAGAACCATTGGTGTTCTCCATTTCTGCTAGCCTGTGGAAAAATAAACAAGACTCATTAAAACCAATTATGTTTTTCAAAAACTTTGTTTGTTCTAACATTCTGGAAAGAATTAAAGAGCGTGATGTTTTTGATGAATTTGAAGCTCAAATTAATTTACACTCACTGTTGATTACCAAAAGGTTTTGCAATAAGCTATCACAAAAGATTGTTTGCTACAATGGCCTGGCTAAACTCACTTCTAAGTTTTCAGCCCTTTCTCTGAAGTTATATTCCAACTTCTCTTGAATAATTAATTCCAAAATCAAAGAAAAGCCTTAAGATGCCAGGGGATTACACAAATTGCTTTGTACCTGGCAATGTCATTGTCCAAACTGTAACAATCAGTCATTTCTCATTAGTTTTCACACTCAGCCCCTCCTAAACATCCTGCATAATTCAGAAACACCTCTCCTGATCAAGAGATACTAGAAGAGAGAAAGAGGCCGGAATTTTTCATTACCTCAGCCCTTGAAAATTTACTTGCTTGGTGGAAAAACATTTTCACCTTTGTGCAATTAATCCATTTTTTGATTCTTAGGAGCAGTATGAAAGCAGAGAATTGAACGAAAGCAGTGATATATCACAATTTCAATCCTCCAAATCAAGGAAAAATCCTGCTTGTGGCATTTCATGAGGTGAATTAAGATTACAATGACACCTGAGATTCATGAGAGTTTGGAGGTTTCTGCTCTTCTCACTTGTACTATTTATTATATCAGGGTCCATATTAAAAACTAAACCTCATGTAGAATCACAGAGGGGTTTGGGTTGGAAGGAGCTTTTAAAGGTCTCCAGTCCAACTCTCCTGCACTGAGCAGGGATATCTTCAACTCAAACAGAGCTCCATCCAGTCTGACCTTAAATGTTTTCATGGATGGGGCATCTACCAGCTCTCTGGACAACCTGCTCCCAGTGCTTCATCATCCTCATTGCAAAAATTCCTTCCTTACATCTAGTCTGAATATGTTCTCTTCTAGTTTAAAATACTACCTCTTGTCCTATTGCCACAGGTCCTATTAAAATATCAGCAACTGTGAGGAGCCCAAGGGACCCAAAAACCAATTCTGACCACAGAGATGCTCTGGCATGCAAGTTAGGACAGGCCGATTAACAACAACCACAGATGATGTTCTTGCATCCCAGAGCCTGGAAAGCAAAACCCCAAACTTTTTGTTTCTTTAAGAAGTGCTCAGCTCTTCTTAAGTAATTTTAGAGAAAGATCTGCCTAAGGTCCAGCTGGTCTCATACCTGCTAGCATAATGTTCAATGCGTGAATGAGTATCATCGTGTGAGAGCTGAGGGGACGAGGCAGGCCTATAAGGCAGAAAACACTGATTAATCACAAACAATACCCCTTTCAAAGTCAAAAGACACTTAGCTATGCCTATACCCTCACATCTCTATGCCTTATGGCATGTTTGGTAAAAAGGAAGTCAGAACTCCAGGTGCTGTGTGTGCCTCCTCAGGCCATCGGTGCAATGTTTTGTGGTGCCACTCTGGGCATTTTTGACCATCTGCAATCCGTCTGTTGCCACGACTCTTCTTCACACCAACTCCCAAAGAAGCTTCTTCCAAAGGATTTACAGAAGAGCTTTCACCCTGGTTTTCCCTTCACACCTGCCTCCTTCACTGGCATTTCTGCTTCAGGCTGCCAGTGTGCTGCTGGGAACCTCTCCTCTGCCTCCCACCCTGCTCCAGTGCCTGCTTCCAGCACATCCCACCTAAAAGAGCCTTTAAAAATTGTTCCACGAGCAGCTAGAAATAAATACAAGAAGCATAAAATGTCTGAAAGGAGCCTTTAATAACACACTGCAGGCACTGATGATTTTAGCTAATGTCTTTCAAGAGTTGCAATCTCAATGGTAGCTCAGTGTGTTATACAGGGGGACACTAAGTTATGTTGGGTTTTCTGTCTGACAAATGGCATGAAGTTCTCTTCAGTTTTCTGTTGATGAAAAGAATTCATAGGAGTTTTCTTGTCAATTAGAGCATTGTTTCTTATAGCCTCACCTTTGGAAAACATCAACATTAAATTATGTTGCCTGTGCAGCACCCTTTGCTGCCACGTGGGATTTAGCCAATCTATTGTATTGTGTATTGAGAGATGCCAGATTAACAAAAAGTGATGCAGCTTCCCAAATTGAATGGCAATTTTATACTTTTGCTAAATTTCAACTGCCCTTTATTCCATCTCTGATGACTCTCCTTCTGTAACTCCTGACTGAGGAAGGAATTTCTCCCCATTTTTAATTGTTGGATACTGTGGTTCAGGCTGGGACTGCCCAAAAGTTATTGTATTGCATTGCACAAGCTGACAGGTTTCGTATTTAGGTTATAAACCAAAACTGTAATAATCTTCTGGTTTGTAATGTTCCCATGTTAGGAGTTTCAGAAGCCTGCTGTAAATCTACTGGACTCCTCAGCTTTCAGGTTTCTAATCAGCCTCCAAAGGGCTCTAGATTAGGATCCTTCTGAAATCATAGAGCTGCATGCTGGATACACAAAATTTGTTATCATTAATATCTCTTCTCACAGAATAGCAAAGTTTTTCCTCTTTAAGACATTACAGGCCAAGTATAACAAGTCTCATTTTGTCTGTGAAATGAACTTTGGCCTCTACTTTTACTCATCACATATTCGAGCATTACTACAGCACACCAGAGGACAAATACTCAGTTCACAGAGTTCCTCAGTGCAGCAGAGATGCAGTGGATGAGGGAATTGTTTCTCTGTGATTCTATCCCATTCTGTGTAAAAATGTGCAGGGAAGGGAGGGGAAAACGATGTAATTTCTTTAGAGCAGTGGATCATGGTGCAGGATAATGATGGTTTTCTGATAAACTGAAGTTACCCACAATTTAAATTTTTTTTTTTGTCATACAGCAGATGTTAAGCTGGTCTTAACTGGTACCATCAATGCAAGAAGAGTTCTTGTTTACAACACACACACAAATGTTGATGCTAATACTATGCATAGACTAGGAAATATGTGTTAAAAGTAGTTTCAATTTTGAGTTTGATCATTCTCTTAGTGCCTCTCACCCTGGCATTGCACATTGTACAGTACGAAAGAAGGGACACCACTTGGTTGGGACCTGCTGGGCAATGAGATGTCTCTTTTTGCAGTAGTGCATGGCAAAATGTGAGGCTTGACTGCATGAATATATCCTTGCTGTCTTGAAATCATGCTGCAACTTCAGAAGCGACCAAGTTGTGTAATAATATAAAAAATATATTTTTAAAAAGACAGTATGATGTTGGAGTTGATTTTGCCAGCTGCAAGCAGGGAGTGAGGCTGCAATTCCAGGTTTGTCTCTACTTCAGAACATACTGCAGTGGAGATATACCTCAAACAGCTTTTTAGAAGTTTGCTTAAGAAAGCAAACCTGCTAGAGAAGCACAGCTTTGTGTTGAATTCAGCTGCTCAGAGGTACTTTTGCCAGTCTCTGAGCAAACTTGAGAATGATTGTGCTGTATTTTACACACTCTCAGTGACTGACCACCAGTGCTAGAGCTCACAGTCCTTCCTTTCTGAGCACACACACTCAGCACCCCTAATCAGCTCAAACAGTCAGCAGGAAGGCTGAGTGACACAGCCAATATTTAGCCAAGATAACCATCCCTTTTACAAGGGCTCCACAGCTGCCTTGTTCAAGCTGGGGTCTGCAGGAGCAGCCTGGGAATTCTAGTCAAGTCAAGTGCTGACCAGGTGGCAAACACCACCTGGTGCAATTCCCTGCACCCCTGGAGACCTGGCTGGCAGGATAAGGGTATTTTTCTTTGTTCAGCATTTTAGTTGAGGCTTCCTGAAAGTGCAGAAACAAGTAAATTGTCTTTGTATCATTGTACCATCCCAGTTCAAGTTAGATACACATTCTCACAACTTGTGAACTGTCCCTTTAATGCCTGGTAAGCAGCATATCTGGGCAAAACACTGGATAATAAGCAGTAAGAACCATTACTTTCCAACAAAAGAAGTTATCTATTTATAAGCAGTTCCAGGTATACCACATGTTGGTGTCAGAACGGCACTAGCATTGCTGAGTGCTGCCAGGTGATGCTTTTCTGAGGCACTTCAAGGATAACCAGAAAACTGGCATAAGAGCACCAGAAAAAGGCATGAGTGTAGAAAACACAGGAAAGTTTTATGATAACTGGTTTGTCTGCTGAAGCTGGAATCGCCCTGTAAGCAAGAAAAAGCTTTAAACCTGGGTAGCTCAGTAACTTGAATTGCAGGTCAAGTGCTATAGCATGAAGGAAAGAAATAAAGTTAGCAGAACAAAATTAAGGGCAATTTTTTCCAGCCACTATTAATTTCTTATTTTTCTGCTTCCTTGTCAGACCAGACTGAAAGATTATGCTCTGGAAGATACCTGAGTTAGTCTGACAAAAAGTGCAACCTCTCTGCACAAATCCTGCTCCTCAGTATTTCTCAAGTTTTCTCGAGCATTACACGTGAGTTAAACTCCCTGTAGTATATAACAGCAAACCTCTGGTGTGAAGCTATCAGTGTAGGCACACCACAGTGTTACTACTATAAATAGCTAGGAATGACCCTGTTATGACAGCTTAATTTCATATTATGTCAGACACAGTGATGGCATTCCACATGATCCAAGCTTTCTTCAAATGTCACTTTTAGCTTTGCAATTGTTCTGAAATATAAGGAATCTGGATCCATAGTTGCATCTATAAAAGTGCATCCTCAAGCTCAAAGCCCCTCTATTTCAGTCTGCCTCCAGACTTTTGGCATTCTCTGTAGGTAAATTCTCAGCCATGAGGTTTGCAGTATTAGATGTGCTTCCCGGTTGCCTAAATTTCCTAGAGGTAGAGCACTCCCCTTAGCTTCCCAAGGGTTTGTGCTCCCAATGAAAATTATAAATCAATATTCCAGTGCATACATTTCACTCTTGTTTATTCTACAAAAAGTTCAATGGAGGCGCAAGCCATATACATTTCACCATATAGAAATATAAAAAATCTATTTATTAGTTTCTTGTTAGTTATCAATATGTGAATTAAAATTAATCCTTATTTAACATTATTCTAGAAGCATCTGTGTAACACTAGAAGTAGCAAATGCCACAATAGTAAATATATATCTATCTTTAGTTTATGCTGAGGATATTTACTACAACAGTAAGACAATGCATGTGCTGGAGTGGTGCAAGAATGAAAATCTATTCCACAGCTGAAAATCCCTGCTTTTGTAACTTCTGAAAAAATACAGTAAACATTTCCCCATTTCAACCTGCCTTCACAAATCTGAATGTATCTACAAGACTGTAATAAAATACCCAGTGAGCTCTGGATTAACTGGAGCACTCGAGTGTGCACGGTTGCACATAAAACCAAATTATACTTTTATCTGCAAAACTGTGTCATTCCTGAAACTGAATTAAATCCATATCAAGTTCAATCTCTGTCATTCAAAAAGCATCTAGTATACATTCAGAGGGATTGACACTTATTCAGAAACACAGGCTTTTAAATGACAAACTTTGATAAGCATTAGTAGGTCTGCACGAAACCCCTGTTAATTCCATGAAAAACACATACTTCAGAAAGAGTACACAGTACAAAATCCATGACTGCTGAAAATTCCAGGGTTTATCTCATTCTACTAATTTGGGATCAAAACATTCCTTCAGAGAGTGCATCAAAGGAAATAATCATAACGAAAGAAGGAAATGATCTCATGTAAAACTGAACAAAGGAATAAACAAAAAGAAAAAGTGAGGGAGCGCAGCAGCAGTAGCAGCAGCAGCACACTTCAGCAAAAGTACTCACGCAGAATCTACTGGCCAGAAGTTGATCAGAGTAACAGGACTGCAAGACAAAAAATGAGGAGGTGAAGAGAAAGGCAGAAGAAACTCAGCAGCAAAATAATTACAGAAAGTTTAAAAAAAAAAGTCACAATAACTAAAAAGCAGAAATCCAACAGACCAACATGAATGGCTGTGAAGAGCAACCAACCAAAAAGTGAGAAAAAAATCTTGAAATCTAAAATTTAAAAAGAGAAAGAGAAAGAGCGAGAACAAGCTGCGTGCAATTGCCATTAAACAACTGATTAAATGTGTAAAAAAACCAAAGGGAACTGGGTTAAGTCATTGATTTCTCCATGCGCATCATTACTGTTTCTTTTTTTTTTTTCCATGAAGACATGAGTCATTTAGTAAGACTAAATTCATAGGCTGAGAAAAGAAGAAATCATCTAGGAAGGTCACAAACACCATAGCCTAATTAAAAAAATAAAACCAAGGAAAGATACCCGTTTGGAAGAAAATAAAAATTTAATGAATGTATCATTAACCTCCAAATTGCACATCAAACTTAGAAGTCTGTAAGACTGCCAGTAAGACTGTGAGTATTTTTTTGTTTTTTGCTAACTGAAGCTGAAGTTCCTGTGTAAGGACAGGTGAAAGCAGATAAGGCAATGGCAACTGGAAGCCCAGCTTGTGTTTTCCTGCCAGGCGAGGTAAACAGGAATGAAAGACATAAAGAGGCTTTATGCATTTAGGAAGTGAAAAGAGTTGGCACCAGCTGGGGAGTTCAAATTGTGTACCAAATGAATTACTGCTTAAGATACTTCAGAGCTACTCACGTTTCCATGTTGTCTCCCTCCAAGACAGTCTGCACAGGCAGGTAGCCCATTCGTGGGTGCTTTGCAAAATATCTTTTTGTTCGAAACTTGTTTTTTAGTACCTTGGCAAAGTCACGGACATCTTCTCCTGAAGTTGTCTGAAAGCCACAAATCACAATGAAATCATCTTTCATGAGGTTGTCACTGTTTTTTCAATTGCATCTTCCTTTGCTGGGTCACTTGGAAGAGCTGTGATCACACCAAGCAGAGCTGCCAACAGCCTGAGCAGCCCCGGAACAGCAAATTCTATTTGTCCATCACTGTCACCTTACAATGCACTACACAGACACTGCTAGTGGGGAGCAAGGAGGGAAAGGAGTTTCAAAAACCCCTGACAGGCTCATTCCTCACCTCAGGTGATCTCAAGAGGACAAGCAATAATTAGACAATAATTTGTCATTTCCTCACCTGGCTGTGGGGGGGGTCTCTCTGCCTACTTTTGGTTCAGCACTAAAATGGCTGCAATGGAGGACACACAGACAGTCCATGTGTCCAGCTGGGTGCTTCACTGGATCCTAACTCTTACCACACACTTGGCATCTCCACCTCATGGACTTGTCAATCTATGAAAGTCTCTAGGTACTTTTTCTTTCCAGTTTCCCTCCTCAGCCTTCTGTGCCATCAATATTTTGTTCAAAGGGAAACAAAAAGCAGGTGAGAGCTGCTTAAACCTCTCAGATCAGTTATTTCTTCCTGCACCTGTCCAATGTGAAACTAGCAGGCATTTAAGATCAATACTCAGAGGAGAGAACAATTTGCATGAAGTTTTCTATTCCCTTGCCTGCAGCAGGCCTCCCTTGCTGCTCTAGAGACCAACAGAGGAGAACAACATAGATGTAAAAAGACCAGAAAGAGTCTGGAAGAGCTTCAAGGATGTCTGCTCTGAAGATGCAAGATTTTTTGAGAGCCTGACAAAGAATCAGGCAATTTTCTGATGAATTTTAATGTAAGACTTCAATTACTTCAGTCAGGCTGCACTCCCTTCTCTGAACCTTGCAGAAACACTAGACCCTGAAGTACTGATCTTTTACAGTAAATTAAGCTCCTCCTGACCCACATAACAATATTGCTTCTCCAATCTATCTAATTTAAAGGAAAGAAATCAGGGAAAAGTTAATCTTTCTGACATTTTTATTGAGTTCTGTGCCTTCTGCGTAGAGGGGAAGGATGTGGTGGAACCTATCAGTTAAGCCAACCTTCACAGAGCTGCTCAAACACAGATAGGTAGAGTTTTATAAAGTAGGAAAACTAAGGATGCCCTGAAAAAATATCTGCAGAAAGACTGAAAAGTATTAAAAGAAAAGGCAAATATTATCCCTGTACTTATGACACCTATGAGCTTCATGTAAAGCTGGAAAGATTTTGGCTCCCTTTCTGGTCAGTCTGCTCTGGCAGGAAAATTCAGTGTAAGCAATGACTGGCAGAGAAGTGACACAGCAGAACCCATGAGCCAGTGCAGCAGCATCTGTATTTTCATGAAAGTGAGATAATACTTGGTAATATTAAGTATCCCTTCCTCAATTATTCAGAAGTAAAGACATTTGGGGAAGGGAGGGGTGAAGTGTGCCCAGACCACCCAGAGGTCTCCAGAAAGGAGATTTATTGAGGTGGCTCCCTGCCCATGCCCCTGGAGGAGGGAATTCCCTCTGCTGGATTCCATCTGCACAGCCTGCCAGGAGAGCTCTTAACCAGCTTGTCATCAAGAGAGCACACAGAGCACATCTGCTGGAGACACAGAAAAACTTTTAATATTTAATCTTGGTATAAATAGACTAAGCACAGCTTTCTGTCCAGTTGTTCACCTGTGCCATTTATAACCATTTATTAATGCCCTGTCTATTTTGGATGTTGAGAACACTTTGTATTGCATTTGACTGTAATTTGGATTTAGTGTTTTGAGGTATTAGGAACGAAACATTCTTTGCTTCAGCCTTCCTGGGACTGTTCTCCCCCCTCTCTGCCCTGAACCTTTTCCATGACAACCAAAGAGCAAAATGCTGTGTTTGCACAGAAACATCCCAATCTAGCTGGTACCACAAGAATCCCAAGAAGAAAATATATCTTCTAGAGACAACTAAAAGCATCAGGCACCTCTCATACAATCCAACTGCATTTAAAAATGTCCAAGGAGCACAAGAAAGGCAAAGAAAATGTGATTATTACATGGACAAGATGATAAACTGAGGCTATTTTCAGCCAAACCTTCTGATTTACTCCACAGATGTTTTATTACCTATGATCTTCAGAGTAAAACCATCCAGACCAAAATTCCCAGCAGAACTGGTTTATGAGGAAGAAACAGTGGAGTTTCAGCATCCCAGCTCTCTTAAGCCAAAGCAACGTACAGGCAGATGGGTTGAGCATGTCCCAAAACTATTCTGAAACCAAGCTACTTAATAAGAAATAGTTCTTTTTATTCACATAGGAATAGCTTTACCATCAGCTGAATTTTCCCAGTTTGGTTTAAGAAAGTGCCTTGCCAACCTCCCTCCCCAGACCTAGCCCTGACTGGAAACCCTGGATGCAGACAGGTCTATCAGTTTGAACCCTTCCTTCCAACGAGGTGTTCTTTATATTCGTGTGTCACTGTTCATTAAACCCTAACAGAAAAATCATCCTGCATTTACATCTCAGTCTATAAGTTGTCTTCTATGCTTTGTTTGAAAACTCTTTAAAAGTCATATCTCTTTGAACAATAAATTGAGATGTCTTGCTTTCAGCAATAATTGTAGTAATTTTTCTGTCTAAATGAAAACAAAGCAACTGCCTTGCCCTTATTCTGACTCAACCTTTTGCAAGAGAGGGAACATTATCACATCCCTCAGGTATTTAGCATGAGTTCTCAAAACTCCCCTAAGCAGAATTAAAGACTGCAGTGCTCAAAAATTTCTTGATACTAAGAGGGAGGGAGAATAAAAATATCAGAACACTTTGGTGTGCACACTGAATTATTGCAAAGATATTATCAAAGAAGGCATCACATGTCTTGTGTCTGCCAAAATGCATTTTAAGGTGAGAGATTAGTGTGGAGGATGACTAATAAATGCTCTGCCACCTGCGTACTCTTTTTCTTTCATTTAGAAAACAATTACAAACTAGACATAGCTTCAGCGGATGCTCATTCCCCCAATACTTGGGTACATTTTTTGTAATAGCAGCTACACAAAAAAGCGTGGGGCTTGCTGTGTGTCACATTCACTTCCCCCTCCACCCCAGCTAATCCTCCTCTAATTCAGCTGGCTGCTTGTGCAGCCAGGCACGGCACATTAGCACGGGTTGCTGGAGTTCAGGGAAAAATCCACTGCCTGTGAATGGTTCTTTATTCTGATCCAGCAGGCTGGATGTGGTGGCAGCTTTTCTGTGCACCCCCACGTTCACCTCTTAGTAATCTATATTTTCAGGGACAATACAAACCTGCTGGACACAGCACTGCAATGAGTTGCTGCACCTCGTAATCCCTTTTTATTTCTCTTTCCTCAAAACACATCAAAAGGGTAAGGAAATGTTTGGAAGATACTGGTTTGTATCACTCACAAATCTCCCACGTTGTTTCTTAGCAAGAATAAGAGTGGCAAAGTGCAAGGCAAAGCTGCAGTCCCTCCAGGAAGGAGGGGATCAGCCACAGATGGAAAGAAGGCTCCCAGGGAGTCAGTCTCACTCACTCACCCTGCCTACGACTCAGATCACGAGATTCTGCTCTAGGAATGCCTGCAATGGAGAAGTCTGTTCAGACCTGCCCAGGCAGAGCCAACAATTCTCTCTGACTGGTGCAGCAGCTCAGGCAAATCACCCTTTCACCAACCTCAGTCCCTGGGGGACGGCGCTGAAAACCACAGCCAAGGAACAGGGGCAAAGAGCCAGCAAATGGGCACTGGCTGCCATTGCAGGGATCCCCAGGAAACACTGCCACTGAAGGGTAAAAGGGGATAGATAATGCAAGTAAACATCTGTCAGTTAAAACTAACAAAAATTCTGAGCTTGCTTTACTATAATTTTTTTTCTCTCTTTTTTAGGTCTCTGAGAAAAGCTGAGAGTCTTTGCTTCATTTTGGCCATGGATGAAGCTTTTTGCTTGGATGAAGATTTAAAGACTGTTCATATAATTTTATGAGGCTAGCCCAAGTATAATTTTGAGGCTTTATTTTCACCGTTTATGACTACCAGCAGATGAAAGACTAGGAATAATCCTATTTCACCAGGAAATGCTGATGAGAGTGCACGGCTTCAACACCAACACAAACAATAGCAAAGGCAGCTAAAAGCTCTATCTATATTTGAGAGTTCAATCTCTAATTCGAGAGCACCTCTCATTGATGCCCCTTTGCACTGGTCCTGAGAGGCCAAAAAGGAGCACACTGAGAGAGAAAGGCAGAATTTCCTTTGCCAGCTGTCAGGTATGAAAGTAACATTTATGCAAATCCAATCTTTCTGGGAGCCGTGAAAGAAGGGTGAAGACCCTCACCACACCATCACTGCAGCACCCTGTACTGAGTGGCCTGGCTTCCCCCCTTCAGAAATGAAATCTACCTTGCAACCATGAGAATTTCCCTGGCATTTATATCATCAAGTGTTCAGACAATAAAAAAGTACCATGAAATAGTGAGGAACTGAAAAATGCAACCACAGTGTTGTGGGAGAAAGCAAGTGAAGTGGCAACTTGATGAGGAAAGGAGGAAAAAAATCACACACTGATATGGAGAAAACCTTAGGACCCAAGATATGAATGAGTATTTGCACAAATCATGTGCTTCCAGGAGGATCCATAAAGTGACCTATGGCACTGAACATGGAACATGTCATCAGCACACAAAAATACATTATGAAACAGAATTGTGCAAACAATGAACTCCAGTTTACTTCAAACCATTGGAGCATCCTTGACTAAGCAGCAAAATTGCTGGCATGTACAGTATATAAAATGAGATTGAATTGTGGAGGAGGGAAGAAACGCAGTCCTAACACTTCATTACCTTGCACACAGAAAGGAAATTTTTACTTTCTACATAAGAAGGGACAGTAAGGGTCAGTAAAACAGCTACTTACTGGTGTGCAGTATTCCACCATGGGATAGTGCATTTTGTGACCTTTAGCAACACGGCCAGAGAAGAAGCAACTTTGGCAGATGTCATAGTTAAAGTGCTTTAAACTTCTGTACCTAAAAGAGGATAAAAAAGAAAAAATTCATGGCTTCAGAGCTTTGTGTGTGACTGCTTCATATCAGCCCATCAAGTTTGCTCTGTTAGTAAATTCTCTTCTGTGACATGTCACACGGTGTGCAATGCCCAGCAATGCTCCTCTGCCCTGAGGGACAGGTACTGCTGCCTCAGATGTTTATCATAGCTCTCAATCTTCAAAAAAAATTCTAATATTGGACAACAGTGAAGATTTCTGCACATTCACTCATCTTTAACATATGAAAGACACTACCACACTTTTTATTTCTATGACACTAACTTCAGATCTTTTGCTCTTCATCACGATTCCTAAAATAGAATGTCCTCCAGGAGGAAAATTCAAGAAAGTAATGCCCTCTCAGTAAGTCACTCTGGCAACCCCCTCATGTCCTTCCTAGCACCTCTATAAAAACAATTTTCCTGCAGAGCATTCCATCCATGCAAAACTCCAAATGCACTTTTGGGCCATTATTTAATCTCATCAGCTCTATGAGGCAGCTAACTGTTGTATCTGCTGCGCTGAAGTGCTTGAAAGAGCCCGAGGCATAAGGGTTGTCTTGTTCCAAATACACGGAGCAGCTCAGCCACGACGACCTCAAAAGAACATTGTTTCACATCAACTGGGTGCTCAGTATTAGCTTTCTAAAAGCCTTCCAATACAGTATCTTTTTGTCAAGTGTGTACACAGGGTTTCAATGACTTGCAAAGACAGAGGAAAAAAAATCTGTGACAGACGGATTCTACTATCATGATAATAGATTTGTTACATAAATTTAAGAGACAGATGAGATCAGTCAAGTAAAATTAGACACAAACACAGAGCTCCAGTGTCTGCTTCCCGAGTTCTCGGTGCTTACAACAGACTATCCATTCACTTGCCATCCTTTGATATTTCCAAGGGCTGCACTTTTCAATTCCACCTACTTGTCTTTGGCTGGTTTATACAAAACTGTGTAAATAATACAGTAGTTAATAAACTGCATCCGGGAATGGGAAAATTAGACTTTGTGGATGTGCTGAATTACTCGCATCCAATCCATAGCTCTTGCTCAGTAATATTTATCACTTCCCAGTTCAGATATTAATGGGGAATAAAAAGCAAAAGAAAATAATTTAAACTATTAGAGCAACAGCCTCAGATTCAAAACAAAGCAATAAATACCTTCTAAATTTCCCACATTTCCCACTGCCTGTGAAATTGTAGCAGAAAGCACTGCCCCACTACATGCATAAAAGCTACATTCATCTGCTCCCAGGTTAGAGCAAAATGATGGCTTTTTTGTGTAGCACTGCTTGCTGCTGTTATCTATCTGGGTTTTAGACACAAAATTACAGAAAGCTCTTTGTAAACAACACGATAACATAGAAGGAGAAATGCCAATGGTAAAAGAAGACTGTGTGTAAAAAGGGCAGGAACCATACAAAGCAGCTATTGCGAAGCAAAGTGATAAAACAAGTCCAGGCATAATTGAAAGTGAGTATTTACTCAGCCCTTAAGTGGCTTCTCAACAGGCACACCAACACACAGCCATTTTACAACACAGTGACTTATTCATTGCCATAGTAACCACGGTGTCAATCCAGATGTTTAAATAGACCAGCAGCATTTCCCCCACTCCAGGTTAATGTTCCACCAACACTCTTTCACAGAGAAATGCACATGTAGCTTTTTACATGCCTAAGAATTTTCAAGGCACTTCCTTGCTTTATGCTATGACAGAAAGCAATTCATTAGGATCCAATTCAGAAAATGCAACTGCATAGGACACACTGAATGTAAGGCAAATTGTGTTAGCTGTGCAATCCAACAATGCTTTTGTTGAGGCATGGAAAGACTGGGACACAGAGGAAGTGCCACATTTTAACTGAGAGATGACTTGTCCTCTGCAAGTCTCACAGCACTGCACCCAGTCCAGGTGCCACTCTCCCTTGTGTCCCCATCACAATTATTTTTTCCAAGAACAAAATCCCTATAAAATGGAGCTCCTGATTTGCCTGGAATCAGGCAGAGCTCTTGATCCACCAAGCAGAAGCACACACAGCTGAGAGGGAGAGAGTCTGTACCTGAATCCAATAATGGGGCACTCCTTACAGATGTTGCACTTGGCTTGGTGCTTGGCAGTCTCAGCAGCAGCCACCCTGTGCAGGACAGGCAGCCACACCATGGACTGTGGCTCCAGCCTCATCCAGTCCAGGAAAAGGGCTGCTTCAATCTCTGGTTTGTTGTTGGCCTGCAACACAAGGGGAAAAATGACAAGGGCTGAGCACAACTGAGCTGTCTACTCACCAGCTAACAAACAGTTCAAGCTGTTCTCGTCAACTCCATATTTCTTCAAGGAATTTACCTCCAACTTTTCCCCCCAGTCCAACTACTCATTAAAAAAAAAAAAATTAAAAAAATCCCCAGGATCCTGCCTTCAAGCCAGGAACTGAAAACCACTATTAATATTTCAAATCTCTCTTTCTCTTATTCTATTACAATAGACAGCACTACCATGTACTTTGTCACAGAGAAAATCATCCACTTATAGGATCACCTTTGATGCCTGATCTCACATTCTCTGTCTCTCTTATCTGAGAGCGTATAGCACTGCTTCTCACCTATTTTAAAAACTGTTATCCAAGCCCTAAAAATTGCATGTCTTTTGATCAAAATTCCTTTCTCCTCAACATCTTTCATTATCACACTGACCTTTCTTCATAATGCACACATAAGGAAATCATTCAAATCTCTCTCAAGCCTGTTGTTGAACATATAAACCCTCTTTCTCCTTGAATGCCTCAAATTACCTCTTCTTTAAATTTCCAATCACTGACTGCAAACACAATACAGTTCTGTGCCACAAAATAACATTCTCAGATTCCATTACATCCCACACTCATCTCTTTGCCAACAGCAGAGCCAGTCAACACTTCCCAGCAAACCCATTCCTCTGCTGCCATCCCATCCCATCCCATCCCATCCCATCCCATCCCATCCCATCCCATCCCATCCCAACCATGTGACATTTCATGTATCTCTTCCATGATAACTTCAAGGCAGCTCAGTCACAGAGCCAAATCCCATTGTGCCAGGCACCATGTACCCCCCAAAAAATGATATATCATCCCTACCCAGAGCACGCACAGTATGGAAAAAGAAAACAAAGAGACAAAACCCACAAGGAAATAGGGGACAGTAGTGATCTCTGCATGGGGAGAGGTCACACTGCACCAGCAGGCTGGACACTGCAAAGAACAGTGCAGAACAAAGGCAAGGAGCATCAAAAGGGATTTAAAGGAAACCAGTGGAATGATGGAGTCAGTGTTTACAGGAAACAGCCCTCCATGGGGCAGGGTGTCAGGAAGCCTGCACAAAACTGTTACCTGAGAACCTGGGAGGTGGTTTCAGTGCTGAAAATGAGGTGGTATATCAGGTGGAATCCTCAAGGGGCTCTGGTGGGGAGATGGGAGAAGGGAGGATGTGCCCATACAGAGAACAGCCCAGGGATGAAGAGGGATAACATCGTGCTCTGTTTCTCTAAACCATCACTACATGCTAATTCCAATTCCTCAAGACATTTCCTTCCATGCTCCCCACAGCAACAGCATATTTATGGTCTGAATATATTTAAATCCTCTGTTTTCTTTTTTCTCTATGCTTTCAAATACAGCTCTCAGTGGGCCAGTCTTTTATATTTTAAACTTCACAAGGCTGACTGTCTTCCTTTGTGGTTCCAAACCTATTTGAAGCACTTAAATAAATAATAAGCATTAATGTATCATGTACATGGACCAAGATGAATAGGGGATTGAGTACCGAAGATTTTTATGCTCGCTCTCAGTTACTTGTCCAGTTTCTCATGAAATTTGAGTTTAGTATAATCTAGCTAAAACCTTATTGAACTAAAAATGCTAGCAATGAATTTTGAGAAAAGAATACCCCACTGATCTGCAGGAGAGAGAGCTATAGGGAAAACCAATTAGTTGTAGTTCTGTTTTTTGTTTTCTGTTAAATCTAACACTGTTTATAACCTTGACAAACAAATTAACTGATCAATATTTGAAGGCTAAGAAAAATGCAGTCTCCCAGACAGAACCCCACAAAAAAGATGTGAAATAACAAGCCCTGTAATATGCCCTGAATAATGAATTGCATTACAATTGACTTAAAATGCTGTTGCAATATTTTAGTTAATCAGAAACAAAGATTCTTGGTCAGTGCTTCCTTCTTAAGGTGCTCGTTTGGGAAACCATCCAACAACTCCTATCACTACACTTGGGATCCATACACATGGACTTCTAGTATAGTCAAAAACATCCTTTTTTGGATGTTTGGGATAAAAACATCAAATCAGAACATATCTACAATTATTCAGATAAAGTCCTTCACAATTTGATATTCATGGAAGGATTATATTAAATGGAATACACACTGAAACACTTCTGAAGTCTTCTGCACTACGTCCTAGTTCTCTGTTTTTTCACATAGCCGCAGAATTTAGGAAGCCTCCCCCAAAATAAAAAGAGAAATTCAAAAGCACAGTAAAGTCCAGTCAACACTGGCAAAAGGATTTGTTCACAACAGTGAATACTGCCTTCTGCCACAGTACATCAGTGAATTCAGTCGAATTAAATTAATTTTGGAACTCCTAAGTGAAAGGCAGGCTTCTAAAATATGACCATCTCTATTTTCAGCTGGAAGGCAGGGCAACAAAAGGACAGGGGAGAGGCTTTCCGTGACTCACTCAAGGATCCAGCTTCAGCCAGCAACTACACTGGCAAACCATAGCCCTGCCTAGCAGACTACACTTTCTATACAGAGGTCCTCTAAGCCTGAAAAAAAAAATAAATTAAGAGGATCTCTTTAATATACCATTCCTAATAGAAAAACACGAGGTGTACGGAAATGCTGCAGTGCAAGCTGCAGTCAGAATAAGAATGAGCCGCTCAAAGCACTGCTCTCCACTTGTAGCTGCTTTAAATTTGCAGGGAAGATGCTGCAGCAATGAAAGACTTTCTGTAACACCCTAGATCTATTTTAATTTTGCAGTCACTGTCAATTGCCAGCAGCCCCAATAGCTGCCTAGGCAGAGCTCCGTATGGCGGCCGCACAAAACCTGTGCTCAGAGAGATTAGGTGCATTAAAATGTATCAGAACTGCTTCTGAATTATATTACATGAAGATTTAAAGCCACGTGGAGAAAAGCTGGTCAGGGTCAGACAGTATAGGACAGACAGTTCTCAGCTGCCTCCTGAGCTGCTATTACAATTTTTAAAATAATCTCTAAATCCAGTAAGGCAGCAGCTGAAGACTTTACATACGGGAAAAAGGCTGAATTCATACAGTTCATATCTGAAGCAACAAGATCAAGCTGTAAAGAATATTAATGGTTCTTCTCTTGAACACATTTCTGTGCAACTCACAATTTTCATGGTAATAACAGAGTGAATCATAAAGTAAAATTCATTAAGGCCTTTCCAGCTTACAAGTAACAATTTGTTATGGAGGGCATTCAAATTCATTATGCTCCAGACATCTGTTTTTCAGTATTTATTCTGCAGAAACAATGGGGAAATAGGAAGTTGGGTGGTGCTAGCATCTTTATGCAATACTTGGGAGACGAGTTTTTTGTTCTTCCCTCTCTCTTCCTCTAGCTAGTAGCTGAAAAAATATCCTATGCTATATTAACTTTGTCTGTCCATAATAGGAAATATGCTACAAAATACAGATGGGATTTTACATGAAAAATGTGCTATGCTTTTAGACTGAGGCAGATAATACGGCAGAAATTTCTGATAACATTTCTGATTAGCTATATTCTGCTTATGAGCAGCGTAGGAAATTGACTGGAAATAAATTAACATTGTTAATTGAATGGTGTTTTACACCCTGTGTGGAAAGCTTTACATTAGTAAATACTGTTTTGGACAAACAGAACTGAGGGTTGGAATTCTTATAACTTGTAAAGTCTAAAAATGCAGAGCTGCCAGTAACAGCAACCCTGTCTCCTCAGTCAGACCTAACCCTGCTCACCCTCGTCTTCCCCTCCTGCATTACACTTGATTGCTGCGACAGTCAATGCTTTTTGTGTTGTAGGAAGGAATAATAAAACAAAATAACATGAATCCAGAAGTGAATTAGTGTAATTTTATATCATCCACACTTGAACAGCATCTTCCTGATCCCCACCCCTTAAACCATTTTAAAATAGCTTCTGAAAGCAGTTTATTTGTAGCACTCCTCAAGACTGCCTCCAAAGTCAGGTACAGGTTCACAAAATCCTGCTGAAATAAAACCAGAATTGCTGTTTTATGACATTTACAGCACAGCAGCTTGAGGAAGGATTTGCTAGTTCCCTTTGGCCAGCTCTCTGTTGTCAGAGCCAGGAGCAGAAGAAATATCCTATGAATAGAAACAAGGGCTGCCTGAATCTGTTAAAAGAGACTGAGTCCCTCAACAGTAACACTGCACTTGTAAGTTATTTTCATAAAGACTTGTATATATAACTATATATAGTTATTTGTACATAGTACTGGTATTTCCTAACTGCTCAAAAACAAAAGCAATAAACAATGCCTCAAGAAACAATTGTCCAACCAATTCAAATCACAGCATTTATGGCCAAAGTCACTTTCAGGGTCCTGGCCCAGGATTTGTAACACCCAAATGCCTCCTAAAAGGACTAACAGCTCTATTTTGGATTTTATTTGCCTGAGTAAATACACTAATTTGGACACACTTCCATGGTTTTAGAAAGTAGGCTGATCTTGCCTTACCATTGATCAAGTACAAATCTCATAATGAAGACTACAAAATACAGAATATAAAAATACTTTGCTTCATCAAAGTGAAGCAAAACAAGGTTAAAAATACATGTATGAGTTAACTGCACATATTTTACTACTCCTTAGCTTCATCTGTTCTAGTTTTTAACATCAAGTACTCTGATTCAAGTATATCCTTGAAAGAAAGCATACTTAAAGCATTTTATAACCAAGTGCCAACCGTCCAACATTTTACTGAGGAATTGTGAGGGACATTTTCATCTGAGCTGCACTCTGCTCTCTCATCACATTTCTTCAAAGTCCCAATGTCACAGTAACTCATCCAAGGCAGTAGTGTGAATTCCTAGGTCCTGTTTATACTATACGAGGAAAGCATATTAATAATTTTCCACTGTGATTAAAACCGTGCGTCCTTCACTCCATATCATTTCCCTATCCTGTTTACTTAAAAAACCTACTCATCACAGAACTAAAAGGAAAGTCCTTTCACACTGCAGCAACACTGAATTCACTCAATTTTTCATGGATCTATAGATTGCTTTGATGCATTCTGAGCTTCAGCAGAACTATACAGTCTTCAAGTGGTCACTGGATTAAGCTCTTTGCTCTCTAAACTTAAAAGCATTTTTTTCTTCAAAATCTCAAAGCAGAAATTACACACCCCTGCCCCAAATAGAAAAGATGAGTCCCATGATATCGTTCTCCTCCCAAGAACTTCTACCAGCACCTTCCTGCAAATGAAGAAAACTACAGAAAGCACAAGGCGGGAGGGAGAAGTAGCAGAGGACTGGAGCAGCAGCCTTGGGAGAAGGGGACCCAATTCTCAGGAGCAGAGGGGTGCAGCAGGCAAGGCTGCTGCCAACAGCAGGGCTGGGCTCCTCCCTGCCCAAACCTCATTCCCAAGGACTCACCCTTCAAAAAGCAGGAGAGATTTCCCCTGTTATCTCTGGGAAGAGTAAACATCCCCTTTCTTTCTGCTGCTGTGCAGACAGACACGGCCGTTGCCAGGGCACCTAACCTAAGGGAGCTGGGAGAACCACTTCTGAAGCACACAATTGTTGCAACTCTGACATGACTGCAATTATATTGCTGGCTTATCATCACCAGAAAGAAGGAAGAAAAAAGGGAAGAAAAAAACCAAAACTAAAGAAAAAGCGTTCCTCAACGTGGGCGTACAAAGAAAGACTTAAATTAGTTCCCATGCAGTAATGTAAACTATGAACCCCCACAATATTCTTCAAAAATGAATTATCTTGCTCCAGTAACAGGAGGCTGCTGGGAGCAGCAGTACTGCTGGGCTGTCCAGCTTTTCCAGCCTCCCTGTCTCCTGGGCTGCTCCGTGTTCCCCCACCAATATTTCTGTGCTTGTCCCCCAGCCTGTGGATCCTGGTGCCCACCACCCTACACTGAAAGGATGTCTCAGTGCTCCCCTTCTCCCTTTCTCATGGGAAGTTCTGATCTCTTTCCCCATCTCCATTCCTGGCTGCTCCTTTCTTTAATGTCTCATTCTGCCCACAGTGTCTCCTTCATCACTATTATTCTTACTGTCATTCCCTAAGAGTCATCCTTATTTTCCATTCCTTAATTCCTTCTCCCTTGCCTTCATCAGGGCTTTCCCTATGTTTGGATTTCTGCTTCTCTCCCTAGGACTCCATCCCACCTATTCCTCTATCTCCCCTCCTCATCTCAGCCTCCCTCCCCCTTTCTGTCCCCCCTAGGAGATCTCTGTTCTGCTGCAGCCCAGACTGAAAACCAATCGGCACTCTGAGAGTTAAAATGAAGCTTCATCTGGAGGAAAAAAGAGAGGATGACATTCTTCCTATTGCAGGTATCAAAAAAAAATCTATTTTTCAGTGCAGGTAAGAGAAGAAAATCAGGTTTTCTGATGTTCTGATTTCTGAGCATGCCAAAGATTGTGTCCAGCTGTGCTTGGGCCGTTCCTAGAAATGCCAGCAGCTGGATATGGTACAATTTTCAGCCTGCTGGCATGTCTTTATTTCTAATGACAACTCCTTTTGCTAACTCCTTTTGTTCAAATAAACAGTTATCACAAAATCACAGAATCACAGAACAAGCTGAGTTGGAAGGAACCCACAAGAATCACTGAGTCCAACTCCCAGACCTGCACAGGATCATCTCCAAGAGTCATCCTACTTTAAAAAAAATTAGGTTTGATGTGTTTCATCATTGTGATTTTCTATTGTTTATTCCTAGTGTAAATGCACAGAATGGCAGACTTCTTAAAAAAAACCCTATGGCTTTGCCAGATTCTAAGGTCACTTTCCTTATCAGTTTTTCAATGGTGTTTTTAAGTGCTGCTGACATTTACTTGGGAAAACGACAGAAACCAGTGAGTCCTAATTCCTGAGGAAGGTCATTCGTACAAAATCTTTACCATGGATTTGTGTTGGTGCCACTTGAAAGCCCAACATGGAAGTTAAGGCTTGAAAGCACCAGCAGGGACTAACACAGCCATCAACATTACTGTGCACAGTTTATGAGCATGGGTTATTCACCCAGGACACAGCCCTATAAAACACTCATTCTGAAATGGCATCAAATCCCGATTAGAATTATAAAAGGTCATGACATGAATGACAGAAACAGTAAAATGTAAATCCTGTAGAATTAATCTGTCACAGGAAATGTCAAAAATACAGAAAGCAAATGTCCCATCAGAACTGAAGTTTGTGGTGATTTTAGAATTAGGTTCTTTTCGAAGTCATTGTGTGTATGCAGTCTACTTCCAAGCATTAATATTCATTGAAAACACTTGCTGTGTTTTGCTTACTACAGAACAGAAACTACTATATAATGAAACTTGAGCAGCAGGCAAAAAAGCAAACAACTCCCCCCTTCCCCAAGCAAACAAAAAAATCCCTCAGGGACAGTGAGGAGATGGGAAAAGTGCTTTCTTCCATTGTAATGTAGAAGATGCATTTAGCGTTAATCACAGACCATACATTACCTCCCCTCCTCTACCTTTTCACTAAGCAGCTGTCTTCATCTTGCACATTCTGCTGGTAGTTATGATAAGGATGAATAATTCCCTTAACTCTCTTCCTCCCCAGATTAAATAATTTACAAGTTTGAAAAAGAGCCTCCAGTTTGCTGTGTATTCCTCAACAGACAGGACAGGAATTCTTTCAGTACTCTTTAAAACAAGACTGGTATTATCCATTCAAAGAGTGGAAGGAGCTCATCGAGCACTCCTCGCCCCCAGACAGCACTGCAGGCAGTTGCCTATTGCTCCCCTGGGCACCTGGCTGTCACTGCTATGTACATGCCCAAAATTCAGATAAACCACTGCTGTTCACCCACATAGCAGTAACAAACAGTTATCTACTGCTGGGCAATAGAAAACTGTAAAGCCAGGAGCTACTGCAACCAAGACTTACACTGTTTGCAGGGTTCAGTTCCAACAGGAGCCCCAATGACAATTATCTGCCCTCTGAGCTAATTCAAATACACTTTGTCAAAGAAATAGTTTAATAAGCCAATGGCCACTACCATCACAGAATAATGAGGTTGGAAGAGACCTCTAAGATCACCGAGTCCAACCTATGCCCTGACACCTCCACTAGACTATTGCACCCAGTGCCATGTCCAGTCTTTTTTTAAACACATCCAGAGATGGTGATTCTACCACTTCCCTGGGAAGAGCATTCCAGTACCTTATTATTCTTTTGGTGAAAAAATTTTTTCTAATATCCAACCTATACCTTCCCTAATGTAGCTTGAGACTGTGTCCTCTGGTTCTGTCAGAGACTGACCCCACCTGTCTACAACCTCCTTTGAGGAAGTTGTAGAGAGCAATAAGGTCACCTCTAAGCCTCCTCTTCCCCAGGCTAAACAACCCCAGTTCCTTCAAACGTTCCTCACAGGGCTTGTGTTCCAAGCCCCTCATCAGCCTTGTCACCCTTCTCTGGACATCACACGACCCACAATACCCTAATCCTCATCCCAGACTTTCCACCCTCCTCAGAAGTACAGGGAAGCTCAAGATAAACACCAATCAGGAAATTCAGAGCCAGCAAAACGTGGACTTACAAACTGGAAGCAGCTCCTGACGCTGGGCTCGATGTTGCTGCCCCCGAAGGAGGCCACCTCGCCCAGCTGCCGCGGGATCTGGATGGAGTCGTGCAGCAGCAGCCCCAGCCGGCGCTGGTCACAGAAGCCAGTGGAACTCGCCACTTGCTTGAACAGGTCTGCAGGAAGGAGAAGGACACCAGAGGTCAAGCATCACCACCAGGATGTGGCAAGCAGCCCAGATTTGCGTCGTTTCCAAGGCTCACAGGTGCGGTCAACAGCCTTGGAGGACACGAGCACAAATAAAACTTCCATCTGGCTGCTTCTGTTCCCATAAACACTGGGGTTTTTCTGTGAAATGTGAGTCTTGTGGTAATTTTTAATAGTGCTACTGGCTTGTGCCTGGGAAGAAAGGCCACTCTAACACAGCACCTGTGTCATTACTGGTAATAGAAGCAGAGACTCGATAACACAGCTAACTAAACAGCAGGATCTTCAAGCCACAAGACAGATGTATAAAAAATAATGTTAAATGGTAAAATAATTTCATACAACATAGAGCACCTTTTCAAGTCTTAGCAACTCAGAGAATCCATTTCTCTTCCAGATGAATTAAAATGATAACCAAGAGCTGCCTAACTTTGATATATGACAATCTTTTAATTCAAGAGAATTTCTAAAATAAAATAAAAACTACAATATGGTAGAACCTGCCAGCCATCAGAAATTTTAATATCGTATTAATTTTTTGCTTCTGAAGTGAAATGTCATTTGATGCCATGTTCTGTTATTGCATCGTTCTAGAAGAGAATCCTTACAGGAAAGAATTATTATCCCTTCATAAGCGCAATTTAATTTGATGGGGATTAATTATACTAAGTATATATTGAGGAGGTTATAGAATGCATAATAAAAAGAAGAAATAGTCTATTGTTAAATGAAATATTTATTTGGCAACATCTCTGTTGACAATACATTACCTGAATAAATTCACCCTACTTTTCAACAGTTAAAAAAAAAAGAGAGAGCAAAATAAGGCTAGAATAAAATAATGCTCTTTTTTTGGAGTCACTTTTATATTTTACCCAACACCAGGGACACAATTATAAAGGTGCTTCCGCACTGCTCGAGATAACTTTCCTAGCACTGCTTAGACACCTGCTTTCTTCCAAAGGAATAAAGGAACAGATAGAGAAAGGATTATTTTTTAATTACATGAATTTCACTCTTGCAAAGTCTAGCTTTATAATGAATAATTCTGGGATGAATGCTTCCATCACCTCTGCAAGCCTTAAGACTCATGCTCTAGCACAACCAACTCATTTGCTACACAAATGAGACAAAAAATTGCAAGGGGTGCAAGTCATTGCATACTTGCAGCAATACTAATGGCAACTGCACTATGACTTCAGCATGGATGGCAAAGCCACTCCACAGCAGGACAGACACAATTCCTTCCTCTCCCACAGCTATTCAGCTTTCAATTTCCCCATCATTAAAACATTAAATGTCCTCAGCAAGGTTATAGGACACTTAATAGGTTATGCATTACCGTGCACGCACGCTGCAGGAGAATCTAAAACATGAATAAATGTTTTCCTTTATAACTTTGATGATCTTAGATGAAATACAATTTTGAAAAATATCTGTACTAAATTTTTTAGAATATTTTCTGAATATTTTTTCTTAACACCCACACTAAACATCTAGAAATCTAAACTGTGACATTCATTGTGATTGCCCTAAAATCTGATCCAATTACTCATTGTCATGCAGAGATCCCACTGTTGGTATTGTCTGTTTTCTCTTTAGAGTTCTTAAGCTTGCATTAGTAGAGAGTAAAATGATAACAACTGAAGAAGAACTGCTATGGTATTGGGTCAAACCCTAAAGGCTGGATTTTCAGTGGTATTTTTAAGTGCTTGAATGAGTGATACCAGTTAATTCAACAAGAACGTTACTCTTGAGAACTACATTTATCAGTAATTCTTTTCTGGATCCTAATCTCATTAGTGAACTGACTTATCAGTCACATAAAACTAAGACTGCAAGTGAAATTTTTTCAAGTATTTCCCCTTAAAATAAGCAAAATTTGCCCACCTTCAGTACTTATTTATTGAAAGTTATTTATTTAAAGGTAGCAACTATGTTTAAACACAATGTACATAATAAGACTGATCACAATGTGGGAATCATTAAAAGAAGTTAATATATTTAAAAATAGTGCAATGCAAGTGTCCTGTAGACACGCATTTTTGTGTGTAAAGGTGTGCTGAACCAGTGGTCTCCAAAGGGGTTCTTGTGCCTCAGGGAGTGTTCAAGACAATCCATCAGGGTGCAGTAAAGAAATACTTTTTGTACAGATAATAAATTCAATTGAAAGTTTTAAAATAGTTTTTATTAAATCTTTATCACATCCTTCTTAACTTTCTACTTTTGCTATGCTTTATAATGTAGACAATATATTAGTACAGCAGTACATGTACATAATTTATGAATAGATCTACATCTATTGGAGGTGCATGGGCAAAATTTTTTCTGCTGGGAGGGATGTGATCAAAAATGTTTGGCAACTGCAGGGCTAAATTGCCTAAAACTACAGAGAACAAATACCTTAAAAATACAAGGTGAAACAACACCCTTTGCATCTGCAATATCTAAAATAATGTTTCTGTATGCTATTTAAATGTTTATTCAATTAAAAACCAGGAGGAATAAAACAGGAACACAAACATAAGGTAAACCCAAAGTAATTACATAGACTTACATCTGTATTTATCTTCCAGGTGTGCTTTGCAAAGGGACACGACACCGGTTTTGAAAGATAAGACACGGATCCTTCCTGTTCGACCCCTAATGGAAAAGAAACACTGGCTGATAATAAAATCCAATCATGTCATAATTTGTTTACTATAACCAAGTTCACTGCAGTACTGTAGACTTCATAAATTAAATCTCACAGACAATACTCAAGCTGGATGGTTATTAGTTAAGCTAGAAAAACAAAACATTGCTGTGGCTTCACAGGCATAGGTGAACTGCAGTGTGCGGTTGTATCAACTCCACGTGAAATGGTCTCGATCAGAAATAACTACTCATCTCTTTTTTTATAAAAAGAGTGAGTAAAGGGTCTTTTCACTATGCTTCCTTGAACAGGCTTCTCTATGAACTGCTGCTGAGTGATTCTCAGAGGAGATGAGGTCCCTGACAGAACAGCAAACTGTTCCTCTTGCCAAAGACAATATAGCTTTACTTCCACCAGAAATCCAATGTAACAGTCGCCTTTAGAAAGTCTTTGCTTACTGTCTGTCAGCCATGCCCTGACTTGCCTGAAAAGGCAACAGGAAGCCAAGCATGAAAAAGCAGCCTCTGCCAGAAGTGTGCAGTGACAGAGACACTTGCAATATGTTCAGGTGAAAGATAAAGCCTGCCTCGAAATCATGGCAAGGCAGGCAGGCTGTACAGTTATGCCATTAACACCTTGGGGTGGTTTCTGAGCTCCTCCTGGCAGCGCTCAAAGCTCTCCTGTGCAGTGCCAAGGGGCTGGGACACTCCAAGCAGCCCCTGCTGCCTGTCAGTCTCTCCCCCACGCTCACTCCTGCCATGTAACGTGCCCACACTACTACTTCTGCTTTCTAATGTGACAGAGAGAACAACATCCTCCTCTGAGCTGCAGGCAACGCACTGACAAACCTTCACATCTTCTCTCACTCATCTGCTTTAACTCAATTTACTCCCAGTTGCTGCCTTCCCCCCCAGACTTGTGTTTCTGATAGCATTTTAAATATGTAACATCTATTGCAAACAAAGATATACACAAAACAGGAGGCTAATGCCTAAACCCAACATTTTTGAAGCAGAGACTTATCAACAGCTTTGAAGTGTCACCAGTAAGGCCCCCACTGGGAATGAGATGAATCATGTAGAGGCAGGCCATGGTCATGCATCAGGCTGCACCACAGGTAAAGATGCATGGGGTCTTTTTAATCCTATGAAAGAGCTGAGGAGCCAGCAGTGCTCATTTACCCACACATCTCCCCTGCAAACCCTATAAAAGGTACAGACAGAAACCTGTGGACAAAACCAAATTTAGAATTTGCAGCTTTTTATTAAAGAATCTTGCGTTTTTCATCATGAATAAGAAGCAATTGTAGTTTACCTAGGCATTCCACACTCTGGTCCTCTCACTCCTCTCCCTCAAATCTTTTCCAAATTAATTATCATCTGTGCCCTGAGAAACTCCTCCTGATGAATACCAGACTCATGCAAATTATACAAGAGAAGAATATAGAATAATGATTGCTCTGCAAGGCAATTAAATTGAAACTTGTACGAATCATGAGTTGTTCAGTTCACTCTCCTCTCCTCCCAAGTCAAACTAATAATTTAGCAAGCTACTGCAAATGAGCATGAGTGACTGATCAATTAAAACAAATCCGAAATGTGCTGGATTTGCAGAGCTGTACCCATAATTAGATCAGTCATTGACTGTGAATTTGATTAATATCTTTACAAATGACAGTTTTCAATTATAAGAAAAGTAAAGATGCAGCACATTTAATTAAACGTCTCTGGTAGCACTCTGAACTTTGGTTGATCTCTGCCTATTAAGTTTACAATGAAAACTAAACACACGCAACCCCAAGGTCACCTCTCTTACCAGTGCAATTTAAACTTGAATTTTAGTAAAATAGCTACAAGCTTTCCTCACACATAAAAACACCTTTGTGTTCCATTGTGCCCTGCAATGTGCAGCTCCCCAGCACACCTAGGGAATTGCCTGGAGGCAGATAATTATAATTTCTAATGTTGTACTTGCAGCACAGTGCAACATAGAGAAAGCTAGACTGGATATGGCTAGTGCACAAGCCACATGCAAACTGGACAGGTCAGCTTAGGAGCAGCCTGTGGAATGACCTTTAGTTCCCTCTCTGCCTCTTATGTGACTGATACAGATTAATATCCCCAACACATGTTTTGTTTTCACTAACTGGGAGTCCTCAACTATGTCTTATTTATGGTTCATGGTAACTAAGAAGTGGATCACTGTTCTGTGCCAGCCAAAGCAGATTAAACAAATAAAACCTGGCTCTTGAATGAATATAGCCCCATTCCCTAGATCTGGTAAACTAAAAGAAATATAATGTAATTTGGGTAATCCACAGGACACTACAGCTGCTGCAGGGGATGTCACAAAAAACTGACTAATTGGAGGTGATCCTTCAGGAAGACATGATCTGTACAAATCTGTACTTTTATTTTTCAGGTGATCACTGAAGCTTCACTGCTGTGACAAAGAGTGGATGGAAGAAAAATGCTATGGCCCTAAAACAACAGGATGGTTCAAAATGTAAAGGGAAATATAGTAATTGTCCCATGACCTTCCAATTCTACATGTAAACATTTATTCCACCACAGAAATGAGCATGTCTGGCTGGAAGTGGCTGATAAAAGCCTTAAAAACACACAAATTACTTCAAAAACATTAAATTCTCCAAATACAAATATAATGGCTTATTCTAAAATGAGCTTGCAAACATATGTTGAAATTTGCCTATGCATCATGAGCAGTATCATTAACCCACTTAAAAGGAATACCCATAAATTTTCTTCAGGTATATTTAGTATTGTGTTTATACTGATGGGTACACTTTTTAAAATTAAATTTTGAATTAAATGTTTCTCAAATCTTCTTACAGCTAAGGGTTGTAAGCACATGAGACAAGAGATGACCCTCTTCCATCTTTGAAAAAGAATCTCAGATTGAAAGCTATGGAAAACTGACATACTTGAAAAGGTTTAACATCCAGAGGTATAGACAAGCAGGAGTTTATATGGTGTTCATTCTGTTGCTTCTTGATAATTCTCTTGAATTTCTTTATCAAAGTAAATTAAAATGCTATGTAAAGCCACGACTTACAGTGGACAGACATGCAGTCACAGAATTGGTCTGAACAAAAAAAAAAAATCTGCTTAAAAAGTTGTTTTCCAGCTCTCTCATTACCTAGCTTAGTAAATCCAAGATTGTAAGCCGAACCAAGGGCTGTATTGATTCAGCTAAATGCAGCCATTAAACCATTAGGTTTATTAAACTTTCATTTCAACTACCCTTTTTTCCAGCTCCAAGCCACCCATGCTGTAATGAGGCAAACAGCTCAATACCCCTTCCCCCTCCCCTTGTGCTACTGGGAAAGCTTCTGGAGCTTCCCCATCTCCTGAGCCCCTACACATACGTGTCATAGACATTCAGCAGCCAGTTGAGGCACATGTCCACGCAGAGGGGGACGTTGACCAGGTTATTGTGCTCTTGCTCCAGTCGATCGTAAATGGTGGTCAGGCAGTTAATGATCTGCAGAATATCCATTGGCTGGTCATTTTGTTTGAGGTTGTGCTGGTCCAAGGCATCACAGGCAGCAGACAGACTCAGGAGATCCACTGTTGAAATAAAAAAAAAACATACAACCATAAAGACCGAAGAGAAACAGTGGTTGTATTACCCACATCTAAAAGGTAAATACAGCGCTGTACTTGGCTCATGTGCCTGGCCAGAGGATGTAAAATGTCCTCTGAAAGTCACATGCAAGACCGGTTTCAGAACTCCTACAGATGCACTGTTATTTAGCAGTGGCCTTAGAGACCAGTGTGTATCTGTTTCATTTTTAGCTGTAAAGTACTTATTATGCTCTTGGGTCCTATGGAAAGATTACACAAATTGCTGTGCAAGTAAAAACTATGTATTTCATGCTTTATGTTCCTACAGATAGACAGACTAATATTTGATTACTGCACTCACCAAATGTGCTCTTACCATACCACAGGTCATCAGCTTTCCTGAGATGCACTGCCCATTTCTTAGAGAAGTCCAGCAATCTTAACCAAACCAAACTCCACAAGGAATATGCAAACAAATCAGAGCTGAACTGTGATTAACCTCTCTGTCACTTTTCCTCTAGTGAAGAGAGTGGAAAGAAGGTTCTGGAAACACTACATATTCTGTTTCAATTTTTATTAATAAAATGTATCCATTTTTAATTCTGAACAGCATTTATAATTATCAACATCTCTATGGCATTACCGAGTAAGACTTGGTAATGCCATAGAGGTATGTTTAAACTAATTAGTCAACATGCAACAGAAATTTTTGTCATAGACATTTAAAAAAATTTTTTTTCTCCAATTTAAATCAGTTGAATTTTGAAATGCAGATGTCCAGGGCAAAACTGAACTTCCCTTTCTCAGCTCCTAACCTCTGCAAACTAACATCACCAAGTAGCATCACACTCAGGGCACACAAAATCATGGGATGTTGGCTCACAAAGTAAGGCAGGAAGGACAAAAGAAATCAGAAAGATGAGATAGTTGATGATGATCTTCCGGCTGCCACAGGGAAACACTTCCTAACTCCCTGCAGTGAATTTCCAGGGTGTGAGCAATGGGGATGTTGAAGCCCAGATGCTGTTAATCCTGCTCACACCATGAGCAGTCACACAGTGCAGGACAATGGAATATGACCCAAGGCAGTAGCATCTGGTCCAAAATGAACTGCCCAAAATCATCCAGGAAATTCTTCACGAAACTAGAAAATGAACTGACTCAACTGCAAGACCAGTTTTTCTTTCACTGGAATAAAAAATGTGTTTTCTTGAGTGCTGGTGAGCAGCATCTCCTCATAACGTCGAAAAAAACGCTACATAATGAGCAGAAGCTAAATGCAGAACACAATATAGGAATTTTTTTAGAACTTGATCCTGTTTAAGGGCACATTTGGCATATTCACACTTGAGTATCCTGTTTTACCCAGGATGAAACTGCCCCTTTGATGTCCTAGTGGGAGATGAGAAATACTTTAGCTGCCCACAGGGCTGGTTTGCAATGCTGCTTGGACAGTACGCTGGGATTTTGTAATTGCCAAAAGAATTTCAAGAGTATACATTTCATTGGAAATCAATAGGGACTTACTTCTGCTACTAAATCCCTTAAGCACTTCTGAAAATTTTGTCCCCTGGGCCTAATATACCTACTTGCTAGAGTGAATAAGGAAACCTTGGAATGCTATCCCTATTATTACACTAAGAAATTAAACTTTGACTCCATGATTTTGTGCAGAGTTTTATTGGAGTTATAGCTTTTTTTTCACATTAGCATAGAGACATTTATTAAAATAAAGTATTTTGGAATATTACGTTTAACCTTCTAGCATAAAAAAATACAGCTATGCTAAGATCAGTGTTAAATCCTGAAAAAGCATCAGATCTGTTCCTGAGCGTCTCAGAAAGATGTTTTTCTTCTAAGAATTCATTAGTCAAATTGAAAATGGAGCACAGCCCTCAAACACCTATAACTGAGCTTTAGGCTGAACTCTCAGCTCCTCTGAGACTACGAATCAACGGTAATTAAATGAACCCCTCGGGCGTCTGAGTGGCAGCATAATTATATATGCAGCTACTGCTAAACATGGGTCATTCCACTTTGTGAAAGCTCCTCCATTAATAAACAGCATCTTCTGAAAAGCCTTTCAGCCCACTCTTCATCAACCTCCTGTCCTATCCCGAAGTTTGAAACACACAATTATCTCCTAACAAGCAAAAAGCGCTTGCCAACACGTTTTGCTTTAGGGAACCTCTTTTTGTGGGAAAAAGGAAGGCTCTGGCCTTCATCACATTAAGATCCTCCTGCATCTTTCCTACCAAGACTTAAGAAATGTGTGTGTGGGGTCCTCTCCCAGAACACAGAACTGCATATTTATTTCCTAAATGCAGATACGAAGGTCCTGTAAATGACCAATTTACACAATCAGATATGTATTGAAGAGCTGAATATTTGGCACCCTGCAGTGATTTGAAAAGCTTTACTTGAAATAAACCACACCGTTTTATGCTTTGCACTTCTTGTGGGTTCTCTGCCACTCTTTTACACTTTTCTATTTAAAATTCCAAAACTGACTCCAAAATCTGTGTGAGCAGTGGCTTCTAGCTTACTTTGAAGTCTAAGTCACTTATATAAATATTTCTTTGGCCTCGAAGGCCAATAGAGAAAAGGTTAGGATGTTTTTAACTAGACACTGCTAGATTGCAGGAAAAGTATAAAAGACAACATGGAATAAGTAACTAGTTGAAGGACAGAAGTGGCAATTAATAGGCAGGAGAAAGTGCACTCTAGAGGTCTCAAACTGAACTCAGGGAAAACTCAACATATGGCTGGTAATAAAAAGTATAAACGGTCCTCCCAGAATGCAAGATCACCTTCTCTGTAACCTGCTGCTGTTAGCTGACACATTAAAAAATATATTTAATCTAGTCTGCATACAGTTAAAGGAAAAAAGACCCTTTGCAGAAGTTCTTGAATATTTTCTTGCTGCATTTCCAAGAAAAGTTTGTGAATACATCTCATTTTACTGATATCACGATGTCCTGATGTGGTTTGCACTTGAATATCAGATCTTTAAAAGCAGCAAGACAAGAAAGTCATCATGCTTTGATGTGATTATCAAAGGAATCCATACATTTAAAAAAACCTGGAGCAATAGTTACACCTGGCATTCTCACAACAATTTTGAAGGCTGAAATGATAAAGCCACATACTAAATAACACAACACATATGCATTTATTTTTTAAGGATTGCTATTTTCCATATTCTTCTTCAGGTTTACTATCCTAACATCTTAATACTCATTGGGCTGATTTATGAACTGAAAAGAACTAAAATTTAAGTAGAGCTCCCTTTTTGAAGTGTTTCTATTCCTGACACTGAGAAGTAGGCTGTACCTTTACTTCTGCAGACCCTCTATAAAACATGCATTTTTAGAGTACTCCCCAGTAGACAAAATTGCTGTTCTCTATGAAGTTTGCAGAAAAGAAGTGCTATAGATATATATAGGCATATACAGATATATATATTTAAAAACTGCTGCAATTTTAAAACAGAAATTAAGAGTAAGAGCTGAAAGAGGCACCTACTGCAAGTGGGATTTTGGCTTTGCGTAGGAGCCCTGAAACCCAGCACTGTGCTCTAATTCTACTATTGCCAAAATGCAGAAAAATAATTTTGTAATGAGTTGAGGTTTTAAAAAAAACCTAATTGAACTGAGTTCACAAGCGACACTGAAATGATAGAATACACAAATACAATTATGGTGTCTCCAGGCAAAAATATTTGTAAGAACAAAGCCTGCTAACCAAATTCCTTAAATGCTTCTCCTTAGATACAAGTATGAAGAATGTGCTAGAGTAATCAGTGTAAGCGCCGCTGCACGTTTCTGAGAGCATCAATTCTCTGAAAATTTACCTAAATGTAACCTCAAGAGAGGAAGTGACTTCAGTTTGCTCAGCTGGACAGGGGAGGGAAAATAGAAAAGCTCATGGGTCGAAATAAGGACAGGGAGAGATCACTCACGAGTTCTTGTCACAGGCAAAACAGACCCGACTCGGGAGAATCAAGTGAATTAATCACCAAACAAATCAGAGGAGGATAATGAGTAATAAATCTTAAATCTTAAAATGCATCCCCCAACTCCTCCCTTCTTCCCAGGGTCAGCTTCACTCCCAAATTCTCTCCAAATTCTCTACCTCGTCCCCTGCAGCAGCAGCAGGGGAATGGGGGCTGCAGTCAATTCATCACATGTTGTTTCTGCTGCTGCTTTCTCCTCAGTGGGAGGATTCCTCAAACTCTTCCCCTGCTCCTCTGTGCAGTCTCCCACAGGAGACAGTCCTCTACAAACTGCTCCAACGCAAGCTCTTCCCACTGGCTGCAGCTCTTCACAAACTGCTCCCGAGTGGATCCCTCCCACAGGAGTCAGTCCCTGGGGAACAGACAGTGCTGCCAGCAAACCTGCTCCAGCGTGGGCTCCTCACCCAGAGTTCACAATTCCTGCCATGAGCCTGCTCCAGCAGGGGTTTCACATTGGTCACGGCCTGCTTCAGGCACCCACCTGCTCTGGCACAGGGTTCTCCACAGGCTGCAGGTGGACATTTGCTCCACTGGGGAGCTCTACAGGGAGCAGGGGCACACCATGGTCTTCTCCATATGCTGCAGAGGAATCTCAGCTCTGGCATTTGGAGCATCTCCTCCCCCTCCTTCTGCACTGACCTTGGTGTCTGCAGAGTTGTTTCTCACACGGATTTCCCCTCCTTTTTCCCAGCCACTGTTGTGCAGCAGATTTTCTCCCACACCCTTCCCAAATACATTATCCCACAGACATTACCACTGTCACTGATGGGCTTGGCCTTGGCCAGCTGCAGGTCTGTTTTGGAGGTGGCTGGCACTGGCTCTGTCTGACATGGGGTACATTTCCAGCAGCTTCTTAGAGAAACCATCCCTGGAGATACCTGCTACCACAACCTGGCCACAAAAACCCAGTGCAAAAGTCCAAGATGAGTCCAGAATTATTTAATGGTAGGAATCAGTTATTGAAAAACACCTAAAGGACCAGAGAGTCACAGCCAGCACAGGTTTTTGAGGGGAAAGTCCCGCTCAACAAATTTAATTTCCTTTTCACAGATTCACACAGAATCACAAAAAAAGTTGGAAGAGACCTTCAAGATCATCAAGCCCAACCCATGTCCCAACACCTCAACTAAACCATGGCACTGAGTGCCACATCCAGTCTTTTTTTAAACACATCCAGGGATGGTGACTCCACCACATCCCCAGGCAGACCATTCCAGTGCTTTATGACATAGTAACCCAGCTAGCTGACCAAAGGAAGCCAGTACATGTAATCTTTTTAGATTTCAGTAAAACTTTCAATACTGTTTCTCATGGGATCTTTCTGGACAAAATGTTCAGCCCCCAGCAGGAAAAACACTCCATGTGCTGGGTGAGCAGCTGACTCACAGATGGGGCACAAAGGGTTACAGTGAATGGGGGGACATCAGAGTGGGGAGCTGTCACTAAGGGGCTCCACAGGGCTCCACCCTGTGCTCTTCAACATCTCCATGAAGGACTTGAACACCAGACTGGGAGGGACACTGAGCAAGTCTGCAGGTGATACAGAACTGGGAGGAGCTGCTGACTCCCTCAAAGGCAGGGAGGGCCTGCAGAGAGACCTCGACAGATGAGAGGCCTGGGCAGTCACCAACCATGTGAAATTCAACAAGGGAAAATCCTGGATTCTGCACCTGGGATGGGACAACCCTGGATGTACAGACAGACTGAGGAATGAGAGGCTGGAAAGCAGCACTAGGGAAAGGGACCTGGAGGTTCTGGTTGATGGAAAGTTGGGTGTGAGCCAGCAGGGCCCTGGCAGCCAGGAGGAACATCCCTGTCCTGGAGGCATCAGGGACAGCATGGCCAGCTGGGCAAGGGAGGGGATTGTCCTGATCTGCACTGGGGGAGCCTCACCTCGAGTGCTGGGGACAGTTTTGGGTGCCACAATACAGAAAAAACATTAAACTGTTAGAGAACATCCAAAGGAGGGCAGTGAGGATGGTGAAGCTGTGTGAGGAGGGGATGAAGTCACTGGGTTCAGCCTGGGGGAGACTGAGGGAAGGCCTCACTGCAGTCACAACTTCCTTGTCAGGGGAAGGCAAAGGGCAGGCACTGATCTTTGCTCTGTGACCAGTGACAGGACCCAAGGGAATGTTCTAAAGCTGTGTCAGGGGAGGTTTAGTCTGATATTGGCAAAAGCTTCTAAACCCAGAGGGTGGCTGGGCACTGGAACAGGCTCTCCAGGGGAAGTGGTTACAGCACCAAGCCTGACAGAGCTCAAGAAGTGTCTGGACAGTGCCCTCAGGCACATGGTGTGATTCTTGGGGCAGCCTGCCAGGAGTTGGAGTTGGATCATACTTGTGAGTTCCCTCCAACTCAGAATATTCTGTGATTCTAATACAGACAAAATGGGATGCAAAGTTTTGCACTTTCAGTCATAAAAGCCTGTTACAAGTTACACTTATGCACTGCCAGCTAGTTAATTCCAGAAATTCTGTTTCCTTCAGTGCTGCACTGGTTATGAATACTTCTCACTGCATATCACTCCAGTTTCTTTATACCACATTTCCACAGTGAGCGTGGCAGAAGTGCTCTACCATGGAAAGATGTTTATATTTCTAATCATAATTCTTTGTCACTGAATTAATGTTGAAATCCTTCATAATGCATAATGTTACAAGACTTCTCACTTATTGTTTATTTTTTCCTTTTTCCCCCCTATTTTTTATACAGTCAGACATTAAGTCTGCACACTTTAGCGGAATTCACCCATGCTTATAAGCCTAAAAGTAAACATGCTCAAAAATACCAAGGTTTGACACAGTTCCAGAAAGCATGTGAGCGCAAATCCAACTTGAGATAAATCAAGAGTTGAGACATTTGCAACTGTGTCAGAAATTTAACCCTGTAATTAAATGCCAAACAGTGAATGTTAAAATATTTTAATAATCCTCCCAATTGGACTGCCTAATAAACTGCTTGCTTTGGCAGCTAACTGGCCTATCAAGAAAACTCTCAGCGAATTATTTAGCTATCAGGTTACAATAAGCTGAAAAGGAAATGTAATTCTAGTGAAAAGTAGAATAACATAGAGCAGTTGGGAGAATTAAAATGTTCGAACATGCACATCACTAATATAACAGCTGATGAGAGACTTTTCAACACAACTGAAAGCTGGGGAAAAAAATGAAGCTAAATGTTTATTAAGATGATCTCATTTAAAGGCAATAACCCCTCAGGGTTCAAGATTTAACTTTACAAACCATTAGCAATTCCAGCTCTGAAGCATTATTTCAGCTGAGCTCTCACTGCTCCCAACACACCACAACTGTGTTCCTCTGGGCTGCAAAGCTGTGGCTGGCACAGGACATGGCACAGTGACATGGCACAGTGAAAATACCTGGCTAAAGCATGTAAAGATAAGAAATACGTATGGTATATTCAGTTTTATTTCTGTACTGCTGCTCTGCTTTACAAGGCACAGACCTGCAGACCACCCAGCACTCTGGTTTTGTAATGATCATGCAAACCGGTGGCAGCAGGAGACCCTTCAGGTGAGAGGTCTCCATGTACCAGGCAGAGCTGGGGGTACATGTGGGAGTGTCTTTCTGCTTCTGATATCTGTGAATAAACTTGTGTGCTGGTGCTGGAGCCCTCCTGGCAGAGGGTGAGGCACAGGCAGGTACTTACAGCAGAGAGCCTTCTGCAGCCTGCGGAGTTTCATGGCAGTCCTGTACGCCGAGAACCTGACGTTGTTCAGGTCAGCTGTAGGGAGGCAAGATCAGAACAAAAGATCAGCTTCACACACCAGAAATAACCAGACTCATGAATACGTTGTTATGCTGAACTACAAGACTGTTGGCTAAAAGAGCAGAGGTGGAAAAAAAATTTGTTAGAAATTTCACTGAGTTAAAGACCTCAAATCTTGACAACCAACCATTCAAAAAAAACCCCACTAAGTCCTAAAGTGTTACTTCCTTTTGTTCAAAGGCACAGAACTAAAGAGCACTTGAAAGGACAACATCAGTGACTGCGGCAGTGTCTGGAAATACTGCAGAGCTTTTCACACCGGAGGCACTGTGAGGGAGATAAGCTCCTGAAACTCTTCCTTGTTCACCTTGCGCACCAGCCAGGCTGTGTGCAGGCAGCCCCAAGGGAAAACTTATGCCCAGGAAAAAACAAGTGACTCTCAGCTACTGCTAAAACAGAAAACTTATTAAAAATATCCAATTAAACTTCTGCGCTTTCCATCTAAGCAGGCCCCAGCCATGCCCAGAGATGTAGAGCCTTTCTGGAGAGAAGCCAGCCCACCTAGCCAGGTGAGTTTCCAGGTCCCCACCTGCAAAATGGCAGGGAGCCAGTGGCTCTGGCAGCATGACAGGGAATGGCACCCAGTTGGGGAGACACTGTCTGGCTCAACTTTTGCTAAGCTGTCCTCATACAATTCACAAAATAAGGATATCAGCACAAGTCTCCACTGATTACTTTAACCATGGCTTGCAAAACCTCCTGGCCGCTGTGGGGACAAAGACACACCAGACCAGAGCACAGAAGGTGGTCCCAAGGGGCATTGCCAGCAGCTGCACTGGGAACTGAGGAGTGGCAGGGGACACACTCATACACTACAGGGCAGCCACCCACCACTGAACAAACATATGCTCTTGACCCTGCCACCTACCCAACTCATTCCTGGGCACACACACTCCCGTGCAGCCTAAGGATCATTCCCAAGAGATTGCTTGGCATATTGCAACTTAAGGGTTTTCCAGAACAGAAATACAGTGCTTGTGCCAGCCAGTTTCAGCACCTGACAACACTGCTGAATGCATTTAATTTACTGGTGAAACCCATGGAGCCTAAGCAATTACTGATGGGAAAGTGCTTAGAAAATGTAAACTACAACGTAGATATAAAAAGAACATTAGAGGAAAAAATGCAGTGGCTCAAAATAAAGGTCCCTTTAGCTCAATAAGCTTTCTCTAACCTGACAGACTCTTAGAGAAAGAATATGATGAAAAACAGGGAAAGACAAAACATTTCCTTGCTGGCATACGAGCTAAGGTGCTGTAAAGCTGTTTGAAATGTGGTAGCTTGGGTATAACTATCCCAACATCATTTATAATGCTGTACAGGTATAGGTAGCAGAGGGAATATAGTCTCAATTACATTAATTTTAATTAAGCTGTTCTGAATGAATAATATGAGGTATGATAATTCAGTAGTTTTGAATACCTTAATAAAAGCTGTGGAACATTTCTGAAACATGTCTTAGAGCAGAATAGGAAGTTTCAGCTTTGTATATAATTTATTTTTGTCTGCACAGTTGCATACACCTTTTTAATGGGCACTTCTATGTATTGTTCTTGCCAGCTCTGTCTCTCACCATCATCCTGACAGGTCCTTTATGTGGTGTAGAATACAGTAAGTTAAATAAAGAGAGTTAATTTGTCTTAAATGGAAATTAATAAAGCAGTCTCTCACAAACACACCATGAATTCAATTACATTTTGTACCCTTGCTGCAAATCTGTAAAAGAATATTATGGCTAGCATTTGACAAAATGAAGAGGCCTTTCTTAAATTCTCCCTGAGTGTTCTGAAAGAAGCTTATCTATTTATTATTTACATTTTCAGAAATGTGAGTAAATATGTATGCATATTTCAGGCCTCGATCAAGGCAGAAAATACAATCCATGCAGACATTTAATCCTGGAAGTGCCACAGTTTACATCTATTTTCCTGTATATGTAATACACACTGAATTTATCATCAACCTTAACGACACTGCTGCCAAGAAGCATCTGCTCTACATGATGAAGCAGCAATGCCAGGTGCTCATTTTGGAGCCCTGATCTCAGGTTTTGGAAAAGCAGCAGCACCAGGGCTCATTTGGCTCTGCAAGCCAAGGCTGAGCCGTCGACCTGCCACCGCCACCGTCACTGCTGTCACCAGGATTAGCCTGCACCCAGCTACTGTCCCTGTGCCAACTGCTCACCTCTGTCTCCCTTATGCCACCATCTCCATGCTTCTGATGGACAGCTGTCTCTCCAGATGGTGACAGTCACTTAAGATCACTGGATCTTCATGATTTCACTTTTCCCCTCCCTGTGCCTATGGAAGTGTCAGTGGTGCCTTTCCTCCCCTGGGGCCACTGCTGGAACACACGTGTTGCTCTGGGTAGCAACAGAAGGAGCCCAGGCCCTTCCTAACCGAGTTCAAACCATTTGGCTTGCTGGATGAGACCCCATTTATATGAACCAAAGAACACAATTCTGCCAGGGAATGAGCCTTGGCCCTGGGCTGGGGCGTGCTGGCTGTAAAGCCACCCCTGACATTGAGTGGGGGGACCTCGAGTGAGGAGCACAGACACACTGCCTGCTCACACCCCAGCTGCTCCTGCTGGCAACAGGCACAGGAGGCAGGAGAGGGGCTCAAGCAGCAGCAACCTTCCAGAAGCCTATGGGAACACCAGTAGCTCTTACCTCTCTGTTTTGGGCAATTGCTTTTTGGTTTTTTCCTTCCTGGATCCTTAGGAAAAAAAAATGTTGCTTTCTCCACCCCCACACTGAAAGAGTCAGGACCCACTAAGCCCTGCTTCCAAAGCTTTTATCATTTCAGAGCAGGTTGAGGAGTTCAGGGCACCAACAAGTATTCCTCCAGCCCTTTCCTCCCACTCCTAGAAAGTATGTACCACCTCATCCTCTGAACGGAGTGATCAGAGGGCTGGAAAGCTCTTGCTGTATTGTGAAACTTTTGCAAGTTGTTAACAATACTCCCTCTTCTTGCTCAGAAGGCAACTTTCAAGCTGTAAACAATGTAAATGCCCAAGAGCATAATCTGTTCATGGTCTGAAACAAGGATGCAGTGAAGAGGTCACCTGGCCCCTGGAAAGGAGCCAACAGAAGAAAGGACCATGAGGGAGTATTTGGTGACATATTTACATCCCAGAGCAAAGAGAAATCACGACTTTCCCACCACTCAACCATGGATGACCCCTCTGTTCAAGTGAAAATATATCTTCCTCTATCTAATAACATGATAACAGTGAACAAGAATCAGTGCTTTTATTACAAATGCAGCTTTAATGAAGGGTACTTCAGTTCAGAGTGCTGATAGGAGTAACTCAAATCAGAAATACTGTGGAAAGATGATAAGATAATTAAATTCTAACATTTTCTGCATAATTCTGCATGTTGAGAGAAATCTCAAAACATAAGGGCTATGTTCTATTTCTACAGTATTCTAGAAATACCTGCAATTACACACAGTAGATCTTTTTGCTAGTGCATAATCAGGCAAAAAAACCCACTCATCTGAGAAGTGGTCAGTGATTCAAACCACCTGCTGGAATGTCTCACTGACTACTGACACAGATCAGTAGTCAAAATCTTGCAGTTTGGGGTTTTTTTTTTTAATCCTCTCTTGCTAAATTCTGGATTTTACACTGAGATATGAGTAGTATATTAAGAGGAAAAAACATATTCTCATATTCTTGAGCTTTTACTATGTAAAATAGCTTATCAAATAAGGCAATAAAAAATTAAAATCAGTAAGTTTTCTAAAATAACCTATTTTTGAAGAGGTTTAACATCTACCATGAGGGGGTATTTGTTTTTACTCTTAAGGAGTCACATCTATAAACCAGACAACAGGATTTAAATAGGTCCCTCCTAGAGCTGCTGCATCTGCTGAGAGTGCTGAGTGACTGGGAGGTTCCATCTGAAATGGTCCTATCCTGCATGACAGTCATCCCACTGTGTTTAAAAGCACTGGGATGGGCCAGGCCACCTCCCACCAAAAGCTGGTCATGCCATTTATCTCTCTCCCAATGTAATCTGAAGGTATCTCATAAACTCCTTGCTACCAGGAAACTACCTTTCCTTTACTTTAAAGAGTGGTTTCTTGTTTATATTATTATGAATATTATTATAATTGCCTTTTTAGTTAATGAGGGCCAAACACACACCCTTCCCATGGACAGCAATTATCTCAGTGTCTGGACATCATCTAAGTGAAATGAGCAGCTAACATGCTTCAGGTGGTATTAACCTGAAATTAACAACTTAATTCTTTTAAAGAAATCAGATGTCATCAGGTCAAATCCTCATCTTCGTTTTATAAGATTTACAGTGTTCTGAGGGTTTTTAATCTCAGGTGCAAGGACAGAGAATGTGAACCTGTAGTGATGTACCCAGAAACCTGAAAGCCTTACTCAGCCACAGCTTGTGACATGCTCATAGACTGCTCATAAATACACTGCCTGGGGATAACCTATTTTGGGAATGACAATGCCTTCCTAACAGATGTTAAAAACTCTATACTGGCCAGTCCTGAATAGACAGCAATTCCTCTACAGCCACTAAACTTTCCATGTCTCATCAGACATCAGCAGCACTCACATTGTTTCAATACAGCTGAGATTCCCTGTCTGGCTGGTAAGAATGCTGGGCTTCCTCCTGCTGCCCAAAACCTGTAAATTAATCTTTTAATGGTACCCTACAGTGACATATATTGCCTCTTCTGGAATTGCAGCTTTAAAATGCAAATGACACAAATGCATAAAGGAAAGAAATTAATCAAGTAACACTGCTTAATATCAGCTGAGTCTCAGCCATTGACTTTTATTATAACAATAACTAATGCTATCATCTACACTATTTTGGTAATAAATAACAGTAAACTGTTTTTCTGTGTACACCTTAAGCATTCTTCACGTTGTACTAGGCCCGAACACCTGAGTGAAAAAGCCAACAGTGTCTCTGCAAA